TGAAACGCCTTCAATTGAATCCTTCGTTCACATCTTTAGCATGGTGACATCACTATGTAACACTCGGGCTTCTATTGGCTAGCGCTCCAACACATTTTACGTGATAGGCTAAGGAGCGGGACATCTCTAAGCTGTTGATCAATCACAACAGAGCCGGCCAGCTAACCAATCAGAGCAGACTGGGCTCTGGTTTCAGACAGAGGGTGAAAAGAGGTGCTGCAGCACAGGCAGTATGAGAACAATAAAGAGCTTTTTGAACATTAACGCATGGAGACATGTCACAGTAGAGACACTACATACAAATATGAACCTGACTATGAACCTGATTGGCCCCTTTATTAAACACGGTAAAAAAGGTAATATTGCTCCTGTAATCCTTAGCTGTTTGCCCAGGAGTAATATTAGTTTATTGACAATACAGTTACTATTTTGATCATTATTAAATGGTTTTACAACATTGTTCAGGAAGAAAGGTAAATTATGTGGTTGCTGCTGGTCAATGCGAAAAATGTAAAGCGTATTTCAACCTTTTTAATTGGTCGTTTTGGGATTTTGGACTGATAATAATGCATGGCAACAAATTGTTGTGTATCGATCACGCTCATATTCCAGCTGAGTGACTGTGCTCTGAAAGAAATGTTTAATGCAGTAGCTGCAGGTTAGCAGACTGCATGACAGGGATGAGGTCCACCTGTGTGTGGTGTGCAGGATGCTGGAGGAAAGTGTATTTTATGTGACTGGCATCACAATCAAACACATAAATGCAGAGGTGGATTTGGGACAAATGTTCCCGTGCGTGCGTGTTGAAAGAAAACACTGGGGACTTTAGTTCGACTATCTTTCTTCGGCGCAGTACGATGTACGACTAAAGAAAAATTTCCTTTTTTCTTGTTAGAATTTCTTTTAAAACCATACGATACAGTTATCCCACCTGGAAGCATGTTCCTTCCCAAGGAGTAATAATAATGTCAATGTATATGCTTTATGGTTAAAAGAATGACGGATGTGCGGTATCCTCAAGCCTCACATAGGGAATAACCAGCTAACATGAATAATGTGAGAATATGTAAGGCACACACAGGTTTATGACCATTCAAATACTTTTAGCATTAGTTGAATGTCGCTTCTCAGGGCTAATAAAAAGATGTCTTCCATTCGAACTCATTCCAGGATGTGTATCTTTTAAAGAATACTGTGAAACTGCATGTATTATTAGTATAAATGCGCTTTTTGAACAATAAAGCATAACACATGTCACAGTAGTGGCACACAATACAATAAATGACCCTGAAAATAAGAGGGCACCTTTAAAGCCAGAGTTCATACGTTTTGGGGACTTTTTGTAATTCTCTTTTCACCGGACATTTAGATGAGACCAAATGTCTAAAACTACAACTAACAAACTAAATTCACTGACTAACATTTTTTTTGTTATCCTGTCGTTGGATATAACAAAATGATATTGTTGGAAAACAACAACAAATGCACAGAAAATGAAGTGTAAATTCAAGTTTTACAGGGGTTACGTCCCTGTCTGTTACTTCTAATGTTTTATCATTACTGCTCAGCCCCCTTTAAAGCCAAACGTGTATTAGATTGAAGGGCATTATTGATGCTTCGTGGTCCACGCCAGAGCCAAGTTTTCGTTTTTAGCATTTGTGCTAAGCTAACTGGCACCTTGTGGTATCTTCATATTTACAGAGCAGACAAGTGATTGGAATTGATCTTCTCACCAAACTCTCAGCAAGAAACCACATAAACACAAAACTTTCAAATGATTCGTTTGAAATAGTTTGAAGCCATTTCCTCCGGGAAGATTTGAAAAAGAAATTGATAAATCCACAAGTGACAGACAAAAAAAGGCAATATATTTTACTGCAGCTACATGATTACCTGTGTAGATTAAACAAGCTAATTGTTATGGGGATAGATACATCCCCAGTTATTTTACTCTTAAGTTTTTTTTTTCCCTCAGGGTAAAGGAACATTTCTATAATTAAAATTGCATCCTGTATTTGTACGCTCGTCACATCAAAGAATCCTTTGAGAAATATCTTGATGTTTCACATTGTGTGTGTGTGTGTGTGTGTGTGTGTGTGTGTGTGTGTGTGTGTGTGTGTGTGTGTGTGTGTGTGTGTGTGTGTGTGTGTGTGTGTGTGTGTGTGTGTGTGTGTGTGTGTGTGTGTGTGTGTGTGTGTGTGTGTGTGTGTGTGTGTGTGTGTGTGTGTGTGTGTGTGTGTGTGTGTGTGTGTGTGTGTGTGATTTACCACCTCTGTTAGCGAGGCACAGAGCAACATCGGAGATAAACACTGCAGGAAACCCCTGGCATTTCACAGAGAAATAAACAGGTTGTTTCTGTAAACAAAGCCAATTGATAACTCTCTTTTAATGTGCCATTCCTTGCACACTTGTGTGAATTGTGTCTGGCTGTAATTTCACCCTTCATAGTGTTTATTTGTCAGTGTACAGATTTGTATCCGTCACGGTCAAATAGTATATTTTTGACTTTTTAGTTCCGTTTTATTTTCTAATTTGAAATGTTTGTTTAATTTCTACTCTTTTTATTTTTCAAATGATGTGCAATTATTTGAACATGCTGCTGTAATAAAAACAGTACAAAGGTATACAGCACCTTTCAGCACACGGCAATTCAAAGTGCTTTACAATTAAAAATAAAGTATATCTTGTCTTTTAAAAACCGGCGAGACATAGATCTTTGGTTAAACGATGAATATGGACACATAGGCTGAATGTGAAAGAGAAGCCTGACTGATGTCTAGTAGCACAACACCCCCCCTCTATTTCCTTTAGCATGTCTCAATAACCTTCAAAGTATCCCCTCTCCATATCTGCCTCTGTGCCATCCGCATGCAGCACGCATCCACAGGGCCGCGTGACAAACACCCTGAAACGTCGTACTCTAAATTCCCCGTCTCTCTCTGTGTGCGTTTGTAGTGGAGCTCTCCACCAGATTAACTTTAATTCCAAAATGAGATATCCACCATTTTATAAAAATGCTCTGCACTCTGCCTGGAAGCAACCACTCAGTAATGGAACATCTCTGAATGCAAGAGCAGAGTCACACCCTGTGTAGATGAAAAGACTGTGAACATTTTGTTCTTACCTAATGAACATGTAAGGAGTGAAGCCTGCACATTTCTTTTATTTTAGCCTTCTGGTTGAATGGCAGGGTTGTGCTCACTCTTACAGTGTCTTTGACAGCTAAGGCCTCATTAGGAGAATGTTTTACTTCACAATATACTATTCACTGTTCATACGCTCTTTTTTGTCCATTATTCTCAGACTGACAGAGTAAAGCCAGGCAGCTCCACCATTTTTGTGGTGGTCACTGAAGATGTAGCATTGTTTAAAGGTGCTAATCATTCAGAGCAACAGGTATAACAATCCTGAATCAGTCTCTTAGTATTAGTTTGGACTTAGACGCAATCATTTAGCGCTGAAAACATTTGGTTTGGCTCTTTTTAGGATTTAACATGTAATTCAAAATGCTTTATCGCTATCTTTACATGCAACAGATGGCTGGGTCCAAACCACAGCTCTTATAAAATGTCCGAGGCATCCGTGGAATTTTAATGAGGAAAAACGCTGCTTTGTTTTGAAGGCCGCGGATAAAAATGTTGTGTCTGCTGTAGTCACATATATAAGACCAAAAAGCATGTGATTTAGGAGACTGTAAAGGATCAGACAACGCCAGAGAACAAAGTATGTTTAAGCAACGAATAATAATAATTCCTTACATTTTTATAGCGCTTTTATAGCATCTAGCGCCAGATGCTCAAAGCGCTTTACAAATACATGGTCATAAATGGTCACTGTGGACAATACCCACAGGAGCAAGTTCAGGTGAAGTGTCTTGCCCAAGGACACAACGGCTTTACAGACGCAGCAGCGGCGGGTTTCACCCCTTGATCTGATGATCATTGCACAGCGCACTGCGCCACACCGTCCATCTTCACGCCTCAAAGTCATCGAGGCGCTTTTACAAGTACACATTGATATTATACATGTACTGTGGACATTACCCACAGGAGCAAATCCGGGTGAAGTGTCTTGCCCAAGGACACAACGGCCTGACGCAGTGGCGGCAGGAGCGGGTTTCGAACTGGAGTTCCCCCAGCACCCCCTTGATCTGATGATCAGATGCACAGACCACTGCGCCACCCGTCCCGTAAGACCTCAAGCAGCCTTAGAAATCTTTACTCCTAACTGTCAGGGAGGAAGAACTGTGTAAAAACCTTTTATAGTCGCAAAGTTGGCAGAGGAGCGGGTCGGGGTTTATGGACGGCAACATATACGACTCAGATAAGGAAAGCCTTTGATTCCTGTTCGCAGTTCATGACCATGATCTGCACAAAATGTGTAATCAAGTTCCGTTTTGAAGTAGTTGTTTCTTTTCAAATATTCTGGCCTTTTGTTGACTTAACTATTCATTATTTTGTTTGTCTTAACTAAGATCTTTTTGTACTTTAATCGGACCAAACCTTTATCATAGAGGATTTAAAATGTGTCTCCTAGAGATTAATTTCAAAAGATGTGTCTTTGGCGTTTCATTTCAAGGACTCACAAAACAAAACGTTTATCAGTCCCACGAATATTTCAGACATGAAAACCTTTAGCAGTGTAAGTAAATATTAAAATGTCTCCTAATGGCCAATAGGTGACAGATACTAAGAAATCCTTTATTCATCTCACTGCGGGGAGTAAGTGAATGATTGAATGCAATTTGTGTAAATTGCTTTGAGGGTGTATGTTATGCATTACATTTAATTGCAAGTCTTTTTCCCTTTAACATCCATTATAAATGACTAAATACGTCTGATAATGGCTCATATTTTTAAACCAACTCTCATACCGTCAATTACTGTTTAAAACAATAACAAATAATATGTTTCTGATTTTAGAAATGAAGACTTGCTTCCTGTAGGGCCTGTTACTGTTCACCTCAGTGATTACTGTCTTCTCTGTTTTGCTCTCTCCAGCAGAGGCACCTCCCTCTGGGATGTCCAAGAATGGATACTTCTTTCAGGAAATGGGTGAGTCTGAGCCAACACCAGAACATACTGCATCAATGTAACGTACAATTGAATTTAAAACACATTTCCACATTGGAAAACAAAGCAGCCAATAATAAGGGATCCATGAGTGAGAGAATAAAAGTGCGATCCTATTATTATTCGCATGTATTTGCTGCCAATAAAGTGGTGTAGGAATGAGTCCTAAACCAGGAAAAGAGTTAGCATCTTAGCACGTCTCGTGCCCTTAGGCGCTTTCACACCGGAGTACTTTTCCCAGGAATAGTTCCGATAGTTCCTGGGATTTTGCGTTCACACCAAAAATTCTGCAACTACAACTTTGCTTTTGCGAACCTTTTCACCCCCTTTTTAGTCCCTGCTAGAGAGTAGGTACTTTCCTGGGAGTAAAAGGTTCCCATTTCTGATTGGCTGGGCAGATTGCAAACCACGCCCCGTAAAACTCTGAAAAGTTTTGTGAAGCCACCATTGTATTTGCTGGCATTAGCATTATTAGCATTAGCCCCGCGCACCAACGCAGAGAGACTAACTTATGGCAACACAAAAAAAAACATGCGAGCAGTGGAGTGATGAGGAGGTGTAGGCGCTTCTGGCGATTTACTCGGAAGGCCAACGCCGGGGACTTCCGGCCGGGGACTTCGTGTGGCAGTATACATAGATATATATGTATATATATATTAGGGCCGGGACTCGATTAAAAAAATTAATCTAATTAATTAGAGGCTTTGTAATTAATTCATCGAAATTAATCGCATTTTTAATCACATATAAATATTTGACCTAAGAACAGTGAGAAGCAATTTTTTTCACATGGATTTTAGTATACCATTAGGCGCATTCACACCGCAGTACTTTTCCCACAAAGATTCATGAGAACTTAGTTCATGAGAACTCTTTGAACCTGGGGGAGGATTAGGCAAATGAAGCCGCTGACGTCACTTCTTCTTCTTCTGCTTTGGGTTTACTGGCAGGCCGCAAACCACTTCACGGCGTATACTGCCGCCCAAAGTCCCCGGCCGGAAGTCCCCGGAGTTAGGGACTGGCTTCAGTAGAAGCTGCTGGGAGTCCCAGCAGCTTCTACTGAAGCCTTCCGAGTAAATCGCCAGAACGCCGACACCTCCTCATCTCCACCGCTCCCATGTTTTATTTTGTGTTGCCATAAGTTAGTCTCTCTGCGTTTCTGCGCTGGGCTAATGCTAATAATGCTAATGCGAGGATAATAAAATGGCGGCTTCACAAAACTTTTTGCGAGTTTTACGTGGCGTGGTTTGCAATCCGCCCAGCCAATCAGAAATATAGCTCTTTTCTCACAAGAGAGCCGTACGAAAGTCCCTGCTCTCTAGCAGCTCTCTGCTCTCTAGCAGGGACTTTCGTGGGGGTAAAAAGGTTCTCATGAACTAATTTTAGTACCGGCTCTTTTTGGTGTGAACGCGATAAAAGAGGCTAACGTCCACGCTAGCTGCTATATGTTTTGCATTGAGGTGATACTTGAGGCTTGATGTGCTGCGGTGATATGCGAATTCCTTTTTGCATAATTTGCACACAACCGTGCTCTTATCGACGCTTCCATCCGTCCGTTTTTTAAAACAACATATCCCACTGTTGTTCACTGTGGTTTGTTGTTATCTGAAGTCATGAACGTTAGTTGGTGCTCCAGTATAATCGGTACGCCTGAAACTCATCCAGTGAGAAACGTTCCGCGGTGCAAAAATAAGTGCGATTAAAATGCGTTAATTTTTTTAACGCGTTAATTTTTGTGTAATTAATTAATCTTAATTAACGCGTTAAAGTCCCGGCCCTAATATATATATATACTACTAGTGCTGTCAAAATTATCGCGTTAACGGCGGTAATTAATTTTTTGAATTAATTGCGTTAAAATATTTAACGCATTTAACGCATGTGCAGAATGGCCCGCCCCATACGTGCCACCAGTGGCAGCGCCAGGGTATGGTTGGGGTAGGCTACACCATGGGCTACACCCATACCAAGAAATGGCTTAGCCCCACCATGACAAATGATGTTAAAGTGGGCAAAATAAAGTCTGCCAACTCGCGCGGAGTAAATTGCACAGACAGCAGTTAGTAAGATTGATTTCAGTAGCCACGGTTTTGAAAACTTTTGTCACGTAGTGATCGTCTTCTCAATAGAACATCTTTGATAACGGCGTGGTGTTGTTGCAGGAAGTCCCGACGGAGAATACTTTTGCTGTAGTACAGGGGTGCACATAACTGGTACGCAGGTTATGTGTGTAATCTTAAATGCGTACCGTCACTTGTGTCACAAAGCGCATTTGCGTACCGACGTACTTGTGAAGCTTTTCCAGAAGGCGGTTAGATCACCGGACGACAGAGTCGGTCTCCGTGTGCACAGACAGGGCTGCTGTTAACGTCGGTCTGTACAACGGAATTGTGCCAAAACTACGCCAACCGGCTGCGGAGGGAGACTCCCCCCCCCTTCACTGGAAAACTGCGCTAAAACAGCTGATCGTTCACACTCTGTGGTCACTCCACTAGCCGCCCCCCCCCCCCTCTGTCGACTTTCCTGAAGTACTCCCCCGTTGATAGAAATCAACACGTAATGAATTAAGACCCCACGGTTTGATGATTGATAGGTGTGTGGGTTGTCTTTCATTTTGACACGCAGAATTTTTTTATAATAAACATAGATACTGTATGTTAAATGGATATATCCGCCTTCTTTCATTTATCTTTCCATTCCCACAACAATATACATAAATAAATGGCATATTTTGGACATAGTTCGAATGGTGATTAATCATGATTAATTAATTTTTAAGCTGTGATTAATCTGATTAAAAATTGTAATCGTTTGACAGCCCTAATATATACATATATATATATATATGTATATATACACACCGAAATTATCATATTTTTGGGGTAATTGTATGTATGTATGTATACTTTAAGAATAAGACAACCACACTAAGAGTTATAAAAAAGGTGTCCAAAAGAAACATTACATAATTGTGTAAAGAAATGGTAGCAACATATTCTAAAGAGGCTGGGTCAACATCAATCTTGCAATACTATTATCTCACATAGCCCCACTGATCCTGTGTAGCAGGACTTGTAATGTACATATTTCCACTAAGTAATTAACGATTATCCTAATTATAGTCATAATATTGTCATATCTTACACGTGAAAGGTGATTCCACGGGTTCTTGTTTGCAGACTGCGGCGAGTAGAGCAGCCGTAGGCTGCACAAAAGTCAGGCATAGTCAGGTACTTCTGTAAACACAAAGCCAGCAATTTCCTGTATCATAATGTATCTAAAATGTAAGATGTTTTTAACAAAGCACCTTGAATTGCCTGGTGCTGAAAGGTGCTATATAAATAAACTTGCCTTGCCTTAACAAGCCAAACCACTTGGAAGAAATCATGTGTAACTTAAATTATGTTGAAAAGAAAGAGCAGTTCTGCCTCTCCCACTGGTGTAAAGTTGCTGGGTCAACTTTGTAATACTAGGTCTCACTCACAGCCTCTTGTTATTAGCCAGCTAATAAATACAACCACGTCATACACAAAGAAAAGCTGAAATGTCAACATGTCCAAGCATCCTGTATCATAGCCATGCTAATAACGTTTATAATAAACCAAACCGTTTGTAAATCAGTCAAGATTTCAGCGATTTAAGAGTATTTTTGTGCAGATCACTCACCTTTCAACAGCTACCATAGCGCGTACCAGAGTAGCTGTTGACTGTAGCAAGATGGCGGCCGGTGAGCTACGCTGGAGAATCTCCCATGAGCCATCTAGTGTTTATATCATAGACTGTATATATAAACACTAGATGGCTCGGTTTATATATATCTATGGTAGTATACGCCGTGAAGTTGTTTGCGGCCTGCCAGTGAAGAAGAAGAAGAAGAAGATTAAGATTCATTTGCCTAATCCTCCCTCAGGGACTTATTCCGGTGTGAACGCGATCTGCTCTTTAGTTCCGATGAACTAAGTACGGCAAAGTTCTTGGTGTAAAAGCGCCTCTTGTCTTGAAGCCAATGTTTTTTTGAACGTGTTTTGGTTAGATGCCAAACATATGGTCTGTGGTTAACACTAGTTAATGAGTTATCACGTTTTCTTCTGCGACATCAAATATGTCAGTAAAAACCCAACTCATGAACTTCTGCTTTTAGGTGTCTTTACAAAGCGGTTGCTAACAACTGAGTAATGAGATGACTAAATGCCAAATATTAGCCGCCTTTAGCTGGCGGCGGTGTCATAAAGTCATGCAACCTTGACGTAATTTGTTTGTAGCCTTACGTTAGCTTTATACTTCTGGTGATTGCATTTACGCTTCAAAAATTATAAATATGATGATAGTATTCTGGGATTGTCCTGCTGAACAAAACATGTAAGTAGCATAAGCGTTACTTAGCCACAGAGCTTATTTTCTTCAATACTCCACAGTCGAAAAAATCCCATGGGTTTTTTTGGAGGGATGATGCTACGATGCTAACTTCCCACGCGGACTCACTGCACTGCACTATAATGTCTGCTGTAGAATATATCCATAATGAAAGATGTGATTTAAGATTAGTGTTGCTGCACAGACTCACACTCCACTGCATTTGGATATAAATAATGAACTTTGCTCCGCTGTAATGATAACGGCGGTTTCATTACCTTCAAGCCAAGGAGAGGTACCCAATTAGTATGTGCAGCACAAGCAGGCAAGACAGAATTGGCGTGCGTCGGAGCTCCCCGTCTCCCCCAGCTAATTATTCCCGACCTGCAACACACCAATTCAGTCGGCAGAATAACACAAGGCCCCCTGCTGCAGCCCAACATAACTGTCTTTATTAGGCAACCTTGTATCAGGGTATACATGCGATTACATTATCGTAGGCGAGTAAGCATTATCCACCATTGTCTCTTCTCATTAGTGGGGGTGGGACGGGAAGCCGAATGCACTCGGAGATCAAAGGTTGTGAGCAGGGTGACATGAAATATAATATTTGTTGTATTTCTTGCACTGGAGTAGTGATGCTATTATACCAGTGCCTTCTGTGTCATTATGTTCTTTATCAGTGCGTTAATATTTGATGTGTTTCTGAGTCATATCAACTATTAATGTGATTACGGATGCTCAATTTGGGTTAAATTATTCTCTTTGTGGCCTAAATACAGAGGAGGAAAAAGCAAAAAGCTTGTGAAGAATAGGAATATTTAGGCTTAGGTCCATTAAAAAAATATATTATCAGACAAATTGCTTTGGAGATAGTTTTGAGATATGCATTTGCCTGTCTGATGTTAAAGGGGCTCTATTATTATTTTTCATCACATTGTAACACTAAGGCTTCTACTGTTCAGCGCTCCAACACATTGTACGTGTAGGCTAAGGGGCGGGACATCTATAAGCGGTTAACCAATCAAAACAGAGCCGTCCAGCCAACCAATCAGAGCAGACTGGGCTCTGGTTTCAGACAGAGGGTGGAACGAGGTGCTGCAGCACAGGCAGAAAAATAAAGAGCTTTTTGAACATTAAAGCATGGAGACATGTCCCAGCAGAGACACAACATACAAATATGGAGCTGAAAATGAGCATAATAGCCCCTTTAAGCAATACATCAAGACATTTTTATTGAGTTTTCTTTAACTTCAATGCTCCCTCATAATACACCTTAGAGTAACTCGACTGGTTGTTTTTAAGGTGAATTTGTGCATTTTTCAGACTTTGTTCAAGGAATCCCCGGGGAAAATGTTCAGCAGAGGTTGTAAGCCACTTAAATCCAGACGCAATTTATCTTGTGATCTACTTACTTAATAAATAAAGAACAATAGCCACACTTATTCAATATGTGGAATTTGCCACTTCAAATAGTAAATCAGCCTTTTTCCCTGGAGCGGGATGTCTTACTTTATGAATGTGTATTAATTTCTTATGAGCGGAGGTGGTGTTTAATTCAGGCGTGGTGGCCCGTCGCCACTTAAAAGCTCTGAGGGGAACACTGTCATTTAGCTGACATCATCATTTTTAATCCTGCAAAGTTTCATACAGTTCAAAAGCATCTTGTAAATGTCTCGAGAAGATTTGTTTACTCATCAAAGCGCACTAATATTTATGTCATACAGCTGGTGTTAGTCCATCCATGTTTAAAACCTTTAAAACTAGTTGTGTTTAAACAATATTAATGAATACAAACACATTTTAAACAATTAATCATTGCCTCCAGCTTCTCAAATGTAAATATTTTCTTCTTTGCTCTGTTTTGATATAATGGTAATCTCCATTCAACACCTATTTAAATGATATATTAGTTTATCTGCAGATGATTGGCTAATCAAGTAAATATCTGGTAAAGCTGCACTTAGTGGTTTTTGAGATATATTGAGGATGTTGAATCAATTTCGGACATTTTAGGAATAAAAAATTGCAGTTTTGAGTCACCTAAAACATTCAAATCGACCCAAATTACTTCAAAATAATCCCATTCAGAGCACAAAAAGGGCCTCTTGCTGATTAAAACTGCCATTTTTGATACTGCAAATGTCCGAAATTATTTCAATAACCTCCAAAACCACTCCAAAATGTTCCAAATCGTCCAAGCCATTTTTTGTACTATTGTCTGCACAGGCTAATTAATGCAAATGAATGCATATTATGCTAAAAGTGCAAGTTGCCCAACATATACAAGTGAGCATCCGGCAGTGTCTATGTGCTGGGGACCCTTACTATACATTCCTAACATAAAACTTTGGGGTACTCAACATTTCCGGGTTCATAATAGGACTCTATGGGCTGGCACTCAGACTAATAAGTCAATATTAAAATACAACATTTATACCGGTGTATTTTGAGGTAAAAGGTTTTTGCTGCTGGTGCTTGGCGGCCGCTCTTCCCTCCCAAGGTGATTTGAAAGTCAGAGCCCAGCCGGTGAGTCTGAGGCACGGAGGGACGCAGCGAGGCGACGACACAGCGAGGTTCAAATAATGTCAAGTGCTGAGGGATGATCCCGATGCAAGACAAACTGAATGAACTGAAATGAAGGCCTCCCGACAGATAAGGTCAGCAGATAAAGAGCACGGGGATAGTTCTCGTCGCATCAAGACCATCGCAGGATGATATTTGGGAGCTGGCTAGTTACTGTAGCTCTGGATTTAAGTGGCTGCTGTGTCAGAGAAAATGGGATGAGTCATACAAACAGACTCCGGGCTGTGATGCTTTCTACCAAACAAAACCCTGTCCAACGATTCAGAAAAACATGTCTACCTGCTTATTCATGAAAGACCTGTCTTCACATCAGAACAACCAAAAACTAATAGCATTTCTTTGATAATTTATTTATTTTTTAGGCTTAGAGATCCTCTGCTTACCCCCAGCACTGCGTTATATTTATTAATAAATAAGAATAGACATTTCAGCTGCTGATTATAGTGACATCAGGACCCGATATGTATTTTAAAAGGCCTTTTCCAGATGTAAACAAATAAAATATGTGTATAATAAAATGCATATGCACAACAGAGTAGGGCTGCAATTATTTTCATTACTGTTAAATCTGCCTTTCGGTCTATTGAAATTTCAGCAAATAGTGAAACATGTCCATCCCTGTTTCCAAGGAGACATCTTGTAATGTCCATTACTGAAATATATTCAGTTTTATATAATAGGAGAAAAAAAAGAAAAGCAGGGAATCTGAGAAGCTGATAACAACATTTTCTGCCACTTTTGCATTAAAAAGGTCTTTAAAATTAATCAATTATTGAGATGGATGGCAATTAATGTTCTGTTGATCAACTAATTGATCCATCAACTAATTGCTGCAGCTGTAGAACAAGGCAAAGACAACATTGTACACATACGCTAATACTGTAGATCAGGGGTGCCCACACTTTTTTAGCTTGAGAGCTACTTTTAAAATGACCAAGCCCAAAAGATCTACCTACAGGGCCGCCCCTGCCCGATCTGTGTCGAGAGCGCGGCGGGGGGGTGCTAGTGGAATAAACGGCGGATAAACTGTGGCACGCTTACACTAATTGCGCCGCATAAGCGCATAATAGTGCGCTGCATTTGCACTTCAGATGAGGAGGTGAGGCCCCCTCATAACGGCATGAACCCGTATGGCACAATACAACAGAGACTGGCAACTGAGACTGGCTTACCTGTGCGTCAATCAAGTGGACAATGCCATAGTAAGGATGGATGATAGGCTAACTTTTATTTATTTTTTTTAAAACCACCACCTTTGCGATCAACGTATTGGGCACCCCTGCTGTCGATAATTACACAGTATAAAACTGGTTAAAAAGCAAAAATACAAACTATAGAACCTCTTCTAGTAAAATGATTTATCCTCGTATTCTGCCAACAAAACACTTGGCTCTTAGCATATTCATGTTGATAGATGGTTATTATGTTATATGTTCTTTTGCCCTAATAGTTGAGCAGACTGGTGGCGCAGGAATATCAGGGCTTACAGATTCAAGATCCAAGGCTTTTAGTGTCATTCGTGCATAGCTACAGTGTAGTTATATCGATGAAAATCTTAGGTCCCAGGCTCCTCCAACAGTACAATACAATAAAATAGATTAAATAGTGCAAGTAAATACAATCAAATAGAACGGAATAGAAGTGATACATAATTTGTAAGTTACAAACAGGTGAATGTTATGTTCTTAGTTCAGGGCACTGTCTGAAGATGATAATAATGAAAGAGGGTTCGGTGCTGTTGTGTCCCCAGAGCAGCGGGAGGTGGAGCCGGAGGAGGGCAGCGAGGGCCAGCAGGAGGAGGGCCAGGACTCGCCAATCACCTGCGGAGACGACATTCACCTCTACGACAACCAGCTCAGCCCCGGGCCAGGTCAGTGCAGAGAGGGAGAGCAGGGTTTGGCCAAAAAGTCAAATCGAAATTCACTATAGAGGTGCTATAATAGAGGTGATTGTAATATAGAAAAGGTGGAATAAGTCATTTGATTCTTTACTTAAGTAAAAGTAGAAATCCTTTAGTCTTAAAAAAAAACTCTTATATTTTCCTTTTTTTATTTCTTACAAACAAATAATGTTAGGTCATTCTAATGTTCATTTTGGATACTTTGGGTTGATAAGTAATATAGTATTGAATCAGATCATTTCGAATAGAATAGATTTAAGCATATCTGTTTTCATATGTGAAAATGTTTTAGTTTTTTAGAGATAGAGAGTGAAATGGGGATATGTACGGTGGCTGACGGGCTCAAACATGCAACAACAGCCCAAAACATTTCCATTAGGAGAAACCCCCTGTAGTTGCGAGAAGATTAAAAAGTGATGCACCTTTTAGGGACTGGAGCGATGATTCCTTCCAATATTATTGCAGATCCATCTAACTAACGTAGTTAACCTGTGCCAACTTTTATAATCCCTGAACGTCAACAAGCACTTTTAATGTCCCCGTTTCTGGTGTGTTTTGTGTTTCTTGCAGCATGTTGTACTGTAGCATTTCATTTATGCAGCGCTTTTAGTAAACCCTGCACGTGTTTTTTCAAGTTGGGGAAGATGCATGTCTTTTGGCACATTTCAGTTTTTAAATTAGGCTGCAGCGTGTTTCTCCTAATGGAAATGTTTTGTGCCGTTGTAGCTTGTTTGCACCTGTCAGCCACCGTACGTATATTAGAGGATGTCGTTAGGTTTTTCAAAATATTACAATCCTTATATATGCATTAAAAAAAACACAATTGTAATGTCATTGGGATCTTACATTATTTGTGTTACTTAATGATTAAGAACCTGGAGCTTCAGATTGGGCTAGCTGCCTCTCTGATTTCTTCTCTTCCAGACAATAATCTCCTCCGCGGTTCAACCGAGTAATCAATATCACCCGTTCACGTTTTTTCTACTCCTTGCACTTCAGCCAGGAGATGTTTTATATCATAACATGAGGCACATTCTTCAAGGGCAGTGTGTCTGCATTCATGACGCATCTCCAAGGCATCATTGAGGAAGACAGCAAAAGAGACATGCTCAACAAAAAACTCATCTTGAAACTATTTTCTGTGTGGAGTCCATACCAGAGCCCGGTGGCAGGTGTTGACTTGACGGACAGCTCATCAGCTGCAGGTGAGGGTGACTTTGAACCCATCGTCAAAAACGCGCTAGTCAACAGGTTACCGTTGTCGAGGCAACAGTCAAAGGTGCACCGCGGGCAGAGAAGGAAAGAGAGAGAGATGCCCGTTTCCTTTTGAATGTGACAGCTGACCATGTCACTCGGGCTCATTCTCCATACATAGTAACACTTAAGGCGTCTGACAAGAGGGCGTCAGTGGTTCACGCTGGGAACAAGTTAGAGGAAAAAATACAACCGTGAACATCTCTTTCAAGTTGGACAGGCGCTATTAATGTCAGGTGTAAAATAAGAGTGCAAAATACTTGAGTGTAAACTGACTGAGCAGAACAGATTATACTGACAATACGTATTACTATAAATGTTAAAGAGGCCCTTTTATGCTTTTTAGGTTTTTCCCTTTCCTGTAGGTTTTTGTGCATTTTAATGGTCTGCAAAGGCTAAAATCCGAAAGTTCAAAGTGATAACAATATGTAACACTCTTGCTTCCATTGGCTAGCGCTCCAACACATTGTAATTCTGTGTTTTAATCCTAGGATGTTGAATATGGCTCGTTGTGTGCGAGAATCCATGAACACTTGGATATGATTTGACATGCTTGAAGGTTTTAGGTACAGTTCAAACATTCAGTAAACACAAAACAAAAAGCTTCCTTACATTGATGCAACAACACTGCCTGAAATAACATTATACACTTAAATAAATGAAGCCAGGACCGCAATATATTTTAATATCTCATGCTGTATAATGACCATGTCACTCACCCTTAATTGCAGCCCATGGCATTTACACTTTAAAAACACTTTAACCTCATTTTGTAGCGTTTATACCATAAAACCCCTCCTCTAAATACATGTAAAATGTTGAATTCTTACTGTTGTCACTAGGCAGTTTTCTCAGCCACAGGTTCATAATGTTTGACACACCACCAGTGCTTCACAGCACAGCTGAATGTTGATTATGTATTTTCTTTAGATTTCTTCTCCTAAGTCTAGTTGTCACATACATTAGGCCCCAGAGTCCTTAACTGTTTGCATGCTTGTTGCTGCTTTTAATTGATGTCACAAATTGTAATGTTATTTATAATTCAACATCCGCAAACCTCTGTGGAATATGTCCACCGTATCGAATCAATATAGGACTTTTAATCACATCCTCTCTGGCTAAATAAGCAGTGGTGTGGAAAGTAAATAGCTTAGAGATTAGAGCAGCTCCTAACTAATTTGAAAAACATCTGTCTGTTTATAATGAATCTATTTTCTTTCCCTATGTATCCGAACTGTGTCTTCCTTCATGACAAATGTAGTCGTGCTTTGGATGCTTTTATCACGTTGGTCTCATGCCTGGTTTCTGGGACAGTGTTCAGTCTTGACCTTAACATTTGAGTTTAATGTCACAAAGTAAATTGTTTTTGTGTGCTCATCTGTCTCATTTCATAATCATATTTATAATGTTTTCTATGTATTTTATTTAGCTTTTTATTTAATGTAAAATGCTCTGCTGGTTGTAGGGGACGATCACAATGCATTTAAGTAAATACTTTAAACCTTAATAAATTCATGCAAAAGGGGGTTTATTAAGTTATAATTTGTACCTCTAATTCTTAAACAAACTGGCGTGTAGTGAGATCTATGCAGATGAATCATGATTGGCCAAGCCCGCCTTCAACAGAAGTCACTATTGTTATTCTTTTACACCATCAGGATGCTATCCTGCATCCATGGTGCTGAGAGGAGAAATCCTACAGACTTCGCTGAGCATCTTTTTCTTGATTCCCGCCACCAGCAGGTCAAACATGTCGCTTATCCGGCAAAATAAATAAAAATCTACTGATGGATCCAAAACTAAATCCTGTACAGAAATCTTCGGTTTCTAGACAAAGTATCCTAAGGATGTTGCTGTTCCCTATACGAGCCAATAGGTTTTATATTGGATATGTTGCACTTCCAATCTATCACTCACATCCGGTCAAAACTTTAATCTTCCAATATTTTAGTTTCCTTCCAAATAGTTCAAAACGATCAACATTTGTCCCAGCTGTTGTTTGTGTTTAATGCACGTTTTAGCTTGCTAATACGCTAAACGAAGATCGATTCAGATTTAATATATGTTGTAATTTTCTATTATCCGTGTTCTCTCCGTTTTTGGTTATTGGTAGGTCGTTCTCTTTCCGCACATACACAGAAGTGTCTGCAGGAAGTACGTGTGAAGCTCGGAGAGTCAGATATAAATTCTGCTCAGTATCGGGGTGTAAGTGGCATTAGGCAGATATCAAACCGTGCGTGATTGATAGCAGTTATTCAAGCGGATGTTGTAGTGTGGTTAATGGGAGAGTTTAGTGGGAATGTTGTCAGAGATTCTGTTTGTTGTCTCTTGTTTTTTGTTAATGGTTTTGACATGATCTTATTCCTTATTCTCTCTTCAGAGAACTTTGAATAAATAAAGCATAAAGCTGTCAAACGCTCTCCATAAATATCATTGATTTCATGGTTATATTCCTGCCAGCGCTGGGCTCTGTTCCATTTCAGTTCAATCAATTTGGCTGAAAACTCAAGTGGAAAAGTCGTGAGGAAGGACAGGCGTCGCTCACTGGGAACTTGAGGATTTTGGCTTGGACCAAGGTCAATACCTGACCTTGATAACTGTGTGGGGTTTGTTTTATACCGTAGATATATAGTAGTGTAGACATCTTGAAACTAAAACCAAAAGTCCATTGAAAACATTTACCATTAAGAGGTTTACTTCATTTAAAGTAACATCATCTGCAGTTAATGAAACAGAAACGTGCCTTTTTGGAGACAACTGTTTCTGATCTCAAGGGTGTGAATAGAAGCGTGTTATAAAAAGCTATGTCACCATATTCAGCCCCGCTGGAGGGAGCCTTGGGATTTTAGCCTCTGCAGACCATATACATACAGAAAAACCTATATTTTTAGGCTGATTTGATTCACTTCTGGTTGAAGTCCAAAATCCATGTAATAAGGTTGGTATAAGGCGTATCTGTTAGATGCATACCTGCTGATTTATACTGACTTTATTAAATGAAATAACCAAAAGCAGTGTCCAAAAGATGGATAGGAAACGTTAACCTGTGGTATCGAATTCAATGTTTTTCTACCAATTATTATTCCAAAGTTTGCACAATCAATATTGAATGCTCTGTTGGTAAGTGTATGCATTTCAATGCAAATACAGATCATTAGGGCACATTTTATATGTATTTACTATTTATTAAGTAAATGTTGTTTTCAGTTTGCATGTTGCATGGAATTGTAAAGGGAGTAACGGTTGCATAAAACACGTTTCACCCAGACATAAAGAAAGAGTAAATAAATAAAGCATCACAATTATTTGGGATTATTCTACCACATATTTGAAACTGTTTTAAACACATCCCAGCGCTAACCCAAGGACAGAGATGTAATTCAGCCATCGTCAGTCACTTAAAGACTTAAATAATAAAACAACACTCTACTCTGAAAATAACACAACACTTGTGGCTACAATCAACAGTTGCAGTGCCATATAATCAAATAAGGAAACACACTGGTGTCACATTTTAACACTTCCTCTGCCTCATTCCTAAACCCTGAAAGGATCCGGGATTACTCTAAGCCACAGAGTATATTGAGACGTACAGAGGCCATTAGAAGGAGGTGATCATTGGGGACGAGGTAATCTTATATGAATATATGAATATCTCCTCACGGCTGCAGCCTGACTTCAATTAGAGCCGCGGCTCGCTCTCCCCTCTGGAAGCGGATCAGCCCAGCCGTGCTTTCTGATTGTGAGGCTTTGAAGAACCAAATCCACTGCACCCGACACGTGCCCCCTGCCACAGCCTCGTCTCAGAGGTAGGGGCTCTACACTCCACCGCCTGCAGGGTTGCACAAAGGCAAGGTGTTTGGCGTTGGAATCAAAGCCCCGGTCTTTTTCCTGCCGACTCCGAAATGTACACTTGTGGCTGGTTTATTGATATTATGACATCCTGGTGCTTTCCTAGGGCTTATTGGCTTGTTAAAGGGGGGTTTTCTTGCTTTTTCCATGGCTGGAGGGAGGGGTTAAGCACTGATTGATTTCCAGACAGAGCCGCCATAGTGCATCACGTGGAGCAGAGGAGGAAAGCCCGTGGTAACCTAATAACGTCCTGCCCACAGCAAACGGCGATAAGTGCTTATGTAACGGCAATGACGGACTGTTTTATGAGAGTCAGCAGGATACTGAGGCTGCTAGTTAAGGCACTGAAACCTAATTTTGTCCCCGTATTGTTTTCTCACATAAAAGCTTTTTCCTCCTTTTTCCGTCACTGGGAAAATCCAGACCTTTGTGCTTTATCTGAGCGCTCGCCTCGGCTCCACAGGCATGTGTATTAAAACCTTATCAGCGGAGAACTTCCAATCCCTGTTCAATGAGAGCATTTAGACTCGCCTCTCGACATTTTTTCTCACTTTTAGAAAAAGGGTCTCTCTTCTCTTGGCTTTCCTGGCTTAGTGGTTATTACTTGTGATCTTTATTTCAGAGTTTGCACCATCACTATTGAATGCTCTGTTGATGAGAGCATGCTTTTAAATGCAAATACAGATCATTAAGCTACATTTTACATATATTTATTAAATGTATTTGTATTCAGATTCCTTATTGCATGGAATTGTAAAGGGAATAACCGTTGCATAAAACACGTTTCACCCAGACATAAAACGGAACAAATCTATAAAACATCACAATAATGTTCAAATAAAATACATTTCCAGAATGAGATCCTACTCTCAGAGCTTGTTTCTGTCCTAGTAGGTTGCCAACATGAACATAATATCTTAAGAAATAGATAAAAGATCATTTTGTTTACCATTTTCTCTAATGTTATGTTATCTTTTCCATTGGTATGTTGTTTTTTTCCCAAGATACACATTCTGAATCTTGGCCTATTAATATTCGTTCTTATTAAGATCAATTAAAGGTTTAGTTTGTAAAATACACATGTCAATATAGACTTACAAGAAATACATTTTTACTAGTAACATTTTATTTCTTTAAGGTCATTTTTCAGGAAAGGTTTCAGCCTGTTAAATATTGAAATGTCCTTCCTATCTTGTTTAATAGCATAGTATAGTGAATGTGTTTCGGACTGTAAAGACTAAACATTCAAAGACATTACCTTGCCTATGACAATGTTTTTCAGTATTTCCTGACATTGTATAGAACAAACCATTAAACTTATAATCTAGAACATAATCATCAGATCAATCTATAGGGAAAATATTTTTGCAACGCTTTTACAGAGACAAAAAAATGACGTTTTAATTCAAATGTGAAACTGTACTTCTTGTTTTGTTTCTCCTCAGACGCTGACGACTCTGGCTGTGTGTTGCTGAACACGTCAAGAAAGGTAAGCATGAATATTCATTAAATAAATAAAATATTATTACATCAAATATAAGGTGATTTCTGGCAGTCAGGGCACTTGGCACATTGTCGATAATGAGTGCAGCCATCTGTCAATACAGTGGAGCTCCAGTCAGATCCTAGTTACCCTGTAACATCTTTACTTCAGTAGCAAAAAGATGCACTCTACAGCTCAAATCTAGTAGGATAGATAACAAAGAAGCACACAGTATTGTATACAAGCTCCTACATTGTTTTTTTTCTTCATTTGAACCTATAAAACAGTACCTTGTACACAAGAAAAGAAAATCCGTCCCCTACAAACTAAATGCCTTCTTTAAGAGGAAATATTATGCTCATTTACATGTTCATATTTGTATTTTGTACCTATACCTTTACATGCTTTAATTTAAAAAAGGCTATATTTTTATCATACTGCAGCACCTCTTTTCACCCTCTGTCTGAAACCAGAGCCCAGTCAAAGTCAGTAACTGAAGCTAAAGTTTAGTAAGTTAACTTTAGTAGTCATGATTACCATCCGATACCGAGACCCAGTCTACTTCTTATTCTCCCCTCACACTGTAACAGCTCACAGCTCCACAGTGCACAGCTGAAGCATAGTGATGTCAGTTAAAAACAAATTAAATTGTATGTAAAATATAGTTGACGTCTGGATAGCTGTGCTGTCAGTGTGAATTTCTTCTGTGATACTGCTGTCTGCTGCTGTTTATTTTTTCATGCCACTCTGCTGTTTGCCCGCTCATTTTGTTCCATGTTAGGAGCTGGTTCCTTTAGTGTTTCGCCAGAGGAAATATCAGGATCATAATTCTTTAAATAGCGCTTCTGAATCCGGACTGCGTGTGCTGAGCAGAGGGCCTAGATTGTATTTGTTTTAATCTGATCAAGCAAGGTTGTAAAATGGCAGTTAAAATTGACTGGGGTGTGAATTCTTGGCTCTTACGGTTTAATTTATTTCAAACTGTCTGCAGATTCTCACTCAGTGTGTCTTTGCTCTCTGGCCCTGAAGAGCCTCAGTCCTGTGGCGGTATTTTAAAGTGTGCGCACAGTGACAGGACTTTAAAACAGGTGTCCTCTGCCTCTGGACTTTTGCAATTTAGATCATCCACATTTCAGGGCTTTCCGGGGTCGACCAGGCAAGACGAGTAACATTAATCAAGCCTGCTGCTGATGAAAATCGGCAGACAACTTTTTTTTTTAAGTCAGCCAAGAAAAGGAAGGGGTTACTCTGGTGGAATATTCCAAAAATGACAAAGGCAATTTTGGTGTGATGTCGTTAGATAGGAAGGAAATTAAAATTCATAGGATGATGCTTCTCACTCACCGCAGCAATATCGGTCTTACTTATCTGTCTAGAAGCCACACATTCAGCGATATCTGTGAGTTGAGGGGATTTATTAGTAAACCAATTATCAACAGGAACTATACTCGGGATAAAATGGAAATATGCAGCTGTGTAAATTAACCACATGGTCCTTGAGTATCTGATTAGTCAAAAAAGCAAATGACTGGCTGCAGCTTCTTAAATCTAAGTGATATGCTACTAAATCATTTTGAGTTTCAGAGTGTTTGCTTGGACAAAAAATACAATTAAAGATGCAATTTTTCATAAATATTCTTGGCATTTTGACTATTTACTAATGTAATAATTAATCAATGAATTTAGGCAACAGTCGGTGGATTCAATGATAATGAAAAGAGACATTAGTTGCATCCCTACCTTTGTATATTTCCCAGTCGAGACATCACAGTTTCACATCACAAGTGAGCATTAAAGACAGACTTAATGGTGTAGAGTAAAGTGAGAATTTGTTCTTATTTTCCAAGTAGATTTAAAAAATGTAAAACTATCCAATAGGGGTGGGAATCACCAGGCTCCCCACGATACGATACTATCACGATACTCAAGCCACAATACAATAGTATTGCGATACTTAAGCCACAATACGATAGTATTGCGATACTACGATATGCTAAGTATTGCGATACAATATATTGCGATATTGCAAATCACATGGGTCATATCCATGTCCGTCTTCCCTTCCTGGTTAAAAAATGTATTTGCAATATGAATAGTTTATGTAAATAACCCAATTTGTGTTATTTGAACCTGAAAAGGAGATGGTATTGTTTGTTACTTTCATTGCAATTGTATACATGTCGTAACTTCCTGTTTTATATACGACCATCTTTCGGAGGGATATGCTACAGTTTATATACAAAAATAAAAATATAAAAAAAGTTGATATAATAAAATATCGATACTTGGCATCCGTGTATCGATACAATATTGTCACGCAAGGTATCGCGATGCTGTATCGAGTATTTCCCCCACCCCTACTATCCAACATACTTTGTTACCAGCAACCATTTTCCAGTCTCATTGTACTCATATAACGAGTAGGGATGGGAATTTGAAAGCAAATGTATATTCGAATATTCGACCCCCCAAAAAACGGTTAACCGAAATAACCTATAAAAAAAAAATTGGGTAAAAAAAAAAAAAATTGGAATTTTTTTTTTCAATAATTTTTGGAAATAAATACATACATGTTCAAATAAGTGTAGAAACCAAGTCGAATTTGTCAAATGTATTGAACTGGTTATCACAGTTTGACAGCTATAGGCTTACAGCTTTCATGTGCGGAGGCGATTCACAATCAGCCCAGCTGTAGAGAAGACCCTCTCAGCTGGAACGGAGGTTGCGGGTATAGCAAGGTATAGCATGTATAAGTTTAATTTGGCATCGTTTGACCTCTACACCGCACTCACTAACCTGGTCGAAATATTTCCACACATTACTCCTTTTTGACGCCATGTCTGTTGTGTAGGACTCTTCTTAGAGTGTAAATAATTACCGGACTATGACTGGTAAGATATGTTGAATACCGGCAAAACTAAATCTCTCCTGTCAAAATGTCTATGTACTTTGCTGCCACACACGGTTGCCAAGCAGCGCTTATTGTTGTTTAGGCTGGCCACTCATGTGTCGCGAGTGTTGACAGGGGGCGGGGGAGCACGCTCATGAACTGTTAGCGCCGGAACCTCGCAACGGCTGCGGAGCGCATGATGGAAATTAGCTATTAGCTATAATCTGGCATATTGCATCTCTTCTCTTTGCTGAGATTAATGTTTTTGTATGCATGGTCCTTCTATAAATACATATATTTTAAAAATAAATAAATGTGGGCCTAAAATGAGGTTTGAGTCTGCGTGATCTGCGTGTAGGGAGGGGCAGCAGCCATATCATTGGCTAGAACTAGCTAGATCTGATGGATTTGGACATAAACACGAGTGAAGTATAACCGGACGCAAGAGAGAGAGATCAGCACCTGCAGCTCTGCCCGCTGTGAGGGACCGGTGAGCGGAGCAAAACACACCTTTAGACGTCAACTAACACATTTAGCTATGGCACTGTCGTATATATATATACATTGAATTATTCAATTTGATAATATATAATCAACTTAGGCATCCCTCCCAAAAAACAAAAACAAAAAAAATTAATAAAAATATTCATAACTCATATTCGAATACATGAATAATTATTCGAATACCTGAATAATTTTGAATATTCGATTAATCGTTCCCATCCCTAATAACGAGTAATATGTAGGCCTATGTGTAATATACATGTACAACAAGCCGTTTCTTGCACTACAGATGCACCCCACGGTTCAGGGAGTTTAGAGCAGCACCTAGAGGGCATTAGTTTAAACTGGTGACCAAAGCTGTCAGATTTCACTTTGTTGTGCCTTCTTCCTGTGAACAGCTTGTCTGCTTCTCTTCACTAATCTCCCCATTCTGTTTTACACTCCTGCCTGTTTTTTTTATCTCCTCCTGGTTTAAAACAAATCAATTTGACATGGTCACATCCTCACTTACCTGTCAGGAGTTGTGCTATGAATCTATTTTTTGAAGTGGTTTAAATATAGAATACATTTTTGATGTGGTGATGTTTCTGCTACAGCGGCATACTATTTGCTTTCTTACTCAAAACTTCAGGAAATAATTCCCCAATGCTTTCTCCAGCAGATACTGTGTGGACCTTAGTGCGTATGACTAAAATGTATCTTCAAATCTTCCCAAATTAGCTTCAATTCACACCTTTTGAATCACTTGACCGGAAGAAAAACTGAACCAAAACCCGAGACATGTAGCATACGAACACAGGACAAATCAAATGTATTTATAGAGCCCTCTACACAAATATCTCCACAGACTTGGAGATATGGATTCTTCTTGTGCTTGTTTTATTTTTAAAAGAACAGCAGGGAACCCACTCATCTTCAGAATTTCTGTCAATCACGCGATCAATGAAATCGAGGAGCGCTGGGTGTCTGGGCTCTTAATCGAGCTGTGTTCTTCTCAGGTGGTTCTCAGACTCCACTGCTGCGATTTAGTGAACTTTGGAGGGTGGATGCATAGTTCCATGTTTTCAAAAAGGACAGTATTTGGCTCAGAGGGGGTGGTGTAGATCAGGGATGGGCAAATGGCGGCCCGGGGGCACTTTTAACACTTCCTTTCAATCTGCTGTACTACATAAAGACAACAACAATCTTTAACCTACATTGGTGATTTTGGTAGACTGGGTCCAGGCGCCCACATCTCTAATTGTAATCACAGCTGGAGCGGTGTGTGGGATTGTTGACATCTTCCTGAGTAGCTTGCTTAACGATCAATGGAATAACTTGGCAGGCACTTTACTTCTTTATTGATATTGTGCTTTGTGTTGACCCACGCTACGCATTTTAATTACATGTTAAATCCCCTCCGATGATACTGACTATTTAGAACTGACATTTTTTAACAGGAGGAGATCAGACTGTACTACTAAACTCGCACACAGATAATAAATTCTGATCTGCCGGAAATCCAAGTAATCCTCTTGACAGCAAGATCTTTCAAACGTTTGTCAAACTGAAATCAATAAAACACGATCTGACTAAAATGTTTCCTGATAATGAGATTAGTCGAGGTTGGCCAATCTTTTTAAGGAATATTATTACATTTGTCCAGCGTTTATAGCATTTATTTCAACCCTGTCTCCTAAAAATTACGTTCCCACAGAACTAAACTGCATTCTCAATTACGTTTAGGTAGAAACGTCTTTTCTCCCACGTTACGTTTCTTATGAACGTAACTTAAATACGTTTATTTTCTACATATCTTTGCCATTTATTGTCTTGCTTATAATAATGATAATAGTCATTTGTAAATATCATTTTAGTGCACACATTTGAAATCAGTAGGCGAGGCTGTAATTTCGCCAGCTGTTACTCTCATGAGCGAGGCAGAAAATAATAGTTTTAACATGCCAAAAAGCTGCTGTCGTTTATTGCACCTCAAACATTAAAACAAATCCAGAGTTACGTGTTTCTGTACTTCCTCTAAGAAGAAAGGACAGTAACAGAAGATCTCTGTGCTTTCAGGCTTGATCGCCGTTCAAATGACAGCGTTGGTTTCCCCAAAACTGGGCGGGGCTGTAAAGTGACGTAGATTTTACTCTCATCTATTATTCAAAACCATTCTATTTATTCTAACGTAAATTACATGCCAGTGTTTTATCTTTTATTTATTTGTTTTTATTTTAAATCGTATAATGTCTGACTTTTTTCCCGTCCGTGAGGAAAAGAAATGGGGCTTAGAGCCTCAAAATACTGAAATCTGTATTTTTTTAATCTTTTTTCCTTCTAATTTGTTATTCTTTTCTAAATAACACACTGTTATTTACTCAACAATAACACACAATTATCCTTGTTTTTATTCATTCGTTTAATTCTATAATCTTGGGCTTTTTAGCCGTAAATAAAGTCACCGGAAACAGACGTAGGCCTATAAGGGACATTTCGAGCGATACCCACCACAAACCATGCCACAAACCCACTGAACAGATTACCCAAGATCCTCAGCTTGAAGCTCGTTGATTGGATGTTTTAGCCGCAATGCATGTTGGGATATGATGTTAATGCGATATGATATCCGAAAACATTTTTAAAAAAAGAAAAAAACTTTATTCCGAGTGTTCTTGCTTTTCTCTTTGGAAGAATATTGTAATACACGGTTCAGCTGCATTAAATATTACACATCTGCCGTAGTTCTTTATTTATAGAGCCCTGATGAGAAGACTTCTGGACAAACAGGAGAACTGCCGCCAAAACTGAATATGTGACGTGGATCATAAATATATCAACAATTAAACAACATCTTGCATTTCTTTTCACAAAATACGTCTCCTTGCAGTATCAATAGTAATTCGGCTGACTTTTATATTTGATCCAATGGTAGATAGGTTATATTTACACCATAACGGTGCACAGCTGATAGAAAAGGACTTGTAGTTTTTAAAGATATTACTGATTTTCTTTGAATATAAGAATGTAAATACTGAGTTGAGCGAATAGTCAGGGGTTTTGGGTGATGGGAGACACATCTATGGAATCACAATTTCAATAGCTTACCATTAAATGACGGATATACCTTTCTGTCTGTGATGTTTTACAAATCAGATATTAATGTGTAGAAGTAAAACATGAGAAATAGTATAGCAATATCCTGTACAATTATGTAAAAACATGAATAAAACTACACATCTTCAGATGTTATACATACAAGTGTCCTACAGTTATTATTAGTATGCTGTGTGTACCTTGTGTGCACCGCCTAGTGGTTCAAGCACGTTATTGAATTATTTGTGTTGAATAATGTTATTTTTGTTGAATAATGTTATTTGATGAAAAAAATATTAAGAGTACATACTTTCATAGGGGGAAAGTAGAAGGTCAATGATAGAAATATAGAATATAAAAAATCAAGAAGATACTGTAAGTGATCTCTACAATAAAACAGTTTAGTGCCGGATGTACAAAGATATTAATATGAGGAGGTGCAAAACAGACAAATTAATTAACCTTTATTAACACATTAAAGAATACTTTAGGTTAAGGTCTTCTTTCAAATAAGAAAAAAGCTTTCGGGGTATCTATCTACAGATAAATATTAAGCCTGACAAAGTACTTAACGTCCAATATATTGCTTTCCTGCAATGTTAACTATGTTGAAGCACTTATTTTAACTGATATTATACACTTTAATTATACTCTTATGTAGATAGTATAAGAAATGTGCAGAATTTGACAGTTTAATGGTGGAGGTATACACACATATTGATAGATGTCTTGTTATGCACTGTTGAGGTACCTATGACCCAAGTTTTTCATTCATTGCATAACTACACCGCAAAATAGCAATTATATACAGTTTTTAATTAACTATTAGTAGAGAATAACGAGTAATTAATATACTTTATAAAGATCTGCAGATAAATGTTTAGTCTTCTCAAGCACCAACTATCAAATATCTCTCCTGATTGTTGGCACTTGACAATCACCTTCCCTGAATTTCACTCAGGTGTAACTAAAGTCTGCTTTAAGGGTTGTTTATATTTCACATCATTAATCAGAATCTGCAAAGTAACTCAAATAAATGTAGTGGAGTAAAAATACCAGGTTAACCTCTGAATTGTAGTGGAGTAGAATTACAAAGTAACAATGAGCTGTCATGTGTGGGTATATATTAATGCTGCCCATTAAGCGATTTTCACCCATTTAATAATTACATGTTTTAAATGTGTACACACCAATGTGTTTCATATCGCCTAAACCTCCAGGGCTGTGCACAGTTTAATACTGTCAACTTCTAATTTTGGGAAAAAAGAAAACGTCTTTTAAAACTACAATTCCCAGTAGAGACGTGCCATAGAGAACATGTTGCGAAACACAATAGCCGGCATGTGTAGTTCTCGGGCGGCGTTTGAGTCCAGTTTTGAATAGTCTGCTGTGGTTTCGTTCCATTTCAAAGAGCTTGGCGCTCGGCGTAACCTTGGCGCACTGCCACTCCAACATCCAATCACAGAGCTTGAAGATTAATCACGGGGACTGTAGTCCTAAACGATAGTTTGGGATTATGGTAGTGTAGTGTCTTCGGCCATCCTAAACTGAATGTTTTTTTCGGATATCATATCGCATTAACAACACCACATCTGGCGTCACAGAGATCTTCTGTTACTGACCTTTCTTCTTACAGGAAGTACAGAAACACGTAACTGGATTTGTTTTAATGTTTGAGGTGCAATAAACGACACAGCAGCTTTTTGGCATGTTAAAACTATTATTTTCTGCCTCGCTCATGAGAGTAACAGCTGGCAAAATTACAGCCTCGCCTACTGATTTCAAATGTGTGCTCTAAAATGATATTTACAAATGACTATTATCATTATTATAAGCAAGACAATAAATGGCAAAGATATGTAGAAAATAAACGTATTTAAAGGTGGGGTAGGTAAGTTTGAGAAACCGGCTCGAGATACACTTTTTGTTATATGCCATGGAATGCTCTTAACATCCCGATAGTAATGAATATTAAATGCTTTGACAATAAATACATTAAAATATGTCATCTGTGGAAGCCGTGGCGCTGTAAAAAGCACAACCAATCATCTGAGCCGGCCCGGCTAAAGTAACTGGATGGCCTACCTGCCTGTCAGCCTTCCATCTGTGCACAAACTTAACTCGTGCCCTCATTGGTCATGTGCGCGTTTGTGTGTGTTGGAGGAGGGGCTCTGTAAGGAAGTGGCAGATTTCTTCCGGCTGTGTATTTTCAAATTCTAGCGCACTCGAGCTGGTTTCTCCAAAATTACCTACCCCACCTTTAAGATACGTTCATAACGAACGTAACGTGGGAGAAAATACGTTTCTAGCTAAACGTAATTGAGAATGCAGTTTAGTTCTGTGGGAACGTAATTTTTAGGAGACAGGGTTGTTTATTTTATAGTACTGAAAAGTGTTAAGTGACGTGCTCCTTACAATTATGTTGGCTAACTACAGTTATCTCTAGAGATACATGTTTAGTAGTCTCAATCTCCAATATGCAATATCAGAGACAGCACAGCCATATAAACACTATTTAGAAAACAAATATTGTCCTAGATTTTGGATATTGTTATATTTCATGTAGTTTTTTCCTGGTTTTTAATACTTAATAACAGTAATGTATTGAGATTGTCTAGAATTAATCATACTGTTTTATTATTATTCAAGTATTTTGTGAATGTACCAATTGTCAATTATACATTATTGTAATATTGAGGTAAAACGGTCATAAAATATAATTATATTTTGTAATTTCTCCACATCCCTCAGCCCTATTTGAAATACATATTGGACAGTAATTGTCTTTTTAGAGCTAACTAAAGACACAACAACACAAATCTATGAACATAGTGTATATGAAATAAGTGACTTACAGTAGGTCCAATTATACAGAAACTCAATACATTTTGACATCGCTTTTTAGCCTTCTTCATTACACTGATTGGCATAATCGGTACAGAATTGACCATTCAACAGACATACAGAGAGATCAAAATGACGTTTCCAACAATCCCGAATGTAAAATTATACAGTATACAGATATGTATAAAAATATGTATAAAATATGTATATCCTATATACACAGTCAACCGACACATTTACACATTAAGATAAAAAAAACACAACAATCAATATACAAAATAACAGTCACTTCAATATCAATATCTTTGGTGCAAGATTGTCCATAAAATGTGCATTTATTGCAGATTGTCCATAGCAGCATAAAAAGTGTCGATCATTTCGATCACTCTGTCTGTAAACACAAACTGAGTAAGATTGACATTAAAGTTGACTTCAAACACCATCAGACGTTGAACAATTTGTATCTTTCCCGCAGTATGTGAAGCTGATGAACTTCGAGGAGGAGATCCGGGCTCACAGGGACCTGGACGGCTTCCTGGCGCGGGCCACCATCCTGCTGGACGAGACCGCCGCCTCGCTGGACGACGTCCTGAAGAGGATGCTGCACAGCGTGGGCCAGGACAGCAACGCATCCGAACCCACCTGCAACTTCGAGGAGGTGATGAGCATGCTGTTCACTGACGCCGGAGCGCAGGAGGTCAACGGTAAGCAGATAAACCTGTCAGTGTGCATGTAGAATCCAGCATGAGGGAAAAAGGGATACATTCAACTCTTTAAACACAATAAGACAGAACTTTTACCATCAAGGCACCTGACCTAAAAACATTTGAAGTGTGCACATGTCAACACCTACCTGAAAATTAGCTTCAGCTCAGGCCCGGGAGCCCATTTGTCAGATTGACTCGCGAATGCTTCAAGAAGCTTTTAAGACCCAAAGGAGAGTTTGTGATGTTTGAAACGAGGCTGTCCATTTGCCCCGCGGCTTTTTGAAGTGGACACAAATAAAGCTCAATGCGTTGAATCCTGTTGGCAACCATTAACATGTGCAGACATCAAACGTTTCACAGTGGTTGTGCTACATTAATGCACAAGCATAAGATACACTTGGTTTTTATTTATTTAACAAAACCAGGGAAAACATCACAACATAAATATTTTTTTAAAAGGAATCCTGTCTGTCCACAAACCTGGTAGTAGTTCAATATTTGTCCAGGTAATTGGAGAAAAAAAATTGAATGTGAATTAAAACAATCTGGGACTAGAGCAATGGAGGGAACATCAAACCTTTTTTGGATGTCTTAAATATTTGCAAATAATCCTCTCGTATAAAAGCAGTTATTTACTTACAAAAAAATCAATATCATATAAATTGAACAATATTTTTGTTGTAATTTATTTTATATTAAAACAAAATCCAGTGTTTCCCCCCCCATTCCTGGTAGTAGTAATATTTTTAAGATAATTGAAAAATATTTTGGGTTATTCTTAAAAAAAATGCAACATGGTGCCATTTTAAGATTGCAAAAATAATGTATTTGCGAAGATTGAAAACCGCTAAAATAATCTAAACATTTACCAAAATGGTTTGCACATTTATACACATTAATCTTCCTTTTTGGAAAATGTTGTTTGTTATTGTACCTAAAATGTTACAACATTTTCGAGATATAATATGCTAGACTCTATGCTCACCTTGCTCTCTTCTAATGCATACATTCCTAATAAAGTGCACTTTAGTTTCTCCATTTCCCAGCCTGCAGACCCCTCTCACATTAAATCACTTGAGAGCAGGTCCGTTGGCTGAGCAGCAAAGCCTCTTGGTTAGTAGTAGGTACAGTAGGCATTCTTTTAAAAATGTTTATCATGGTGCCACTCTTTCTTGTTGACATCAATCAATGATAAAAACAAAAAATAATTAATTTGAGAAGGTTGAAAACAGCTAGGGTAATTCTAACACATACATTTCCTATGAAGGCAAGGCAAGTTTATTTATATAGCACCTTTCAACACAAGGCAATTCAAAGTGCTTTACAAAAAAGACATTAAGAAAATGGCATTTAAAATCAGTCATTAAAAAGAAAAGATAATAAAATAAACATTAAAAGAAAAAATACATGAATAAAAGTTACAGTGTAGTTTAAGACGTAAATAGTTCAATTAAAAGCAGCGACAAAAAGAAAAGTCTTTAGTCTGGATTTAAAAGTAGTCAGAGTTGCAGCGGACCTGCAGTTTTCTGGGAGTTTGTTCCAGATATTTGGAGCATAATAATGCTAAATATGAAGGGCCATATAGTTTCTGCAGGTTTGGCGATCATTTCCCAGCCTGCAGACCCCTCTCACATTAAATCAGTCTCTTGAGAGCAGGTCCGTTGGCTGAGCAGCAAAGCCTCTTGGTTAAGGCGGATCTCCTCAGCCCATTAGAGAAATGGTGTTTCCTGCCGTTATAAGAACATGTTGAGTTAATGGTGGTGTCAGGGCTGGCTGTCATGTATCTGCCTTCGGTGTTTTCCTGTCGTTCTGAGCTGGTGTGCGCAGTGGCTGATGGTTAGTCGGAGGTGGGTGGTGTGTGACGCTCAACTCTGACAGATTGGGGAGGTGATAATTGACTTCTGTCATCGATCACTCACTTAGCTTTTCAAATGGCTCTCTGAGACTCTCAAGCTGTGGTGGCTGAGGCTACTTCACTGTTTCTCTCCCGGAATACCCCACTCAGAGGCCAAAGAAGAGACCTTTTTTTTCTATTTGAGGCTGCCATTTTAAAGGCTTCCTGCACACTGGGCTGTCTGGAAATGTTTTCAAAATCAATTTGAGCATTCAGCAATATCTGGAGGTTTTACTACATTTGGAAATTCTATAAATCAGAATCGGCAACAGGTTTATCACCAGGTAGGTTTACACGTACGAGGAATTTGACTTGGTGTCGTGGTGCATACATAAAAGTAAAACAAGAATTAAAAACACAGGTAGAGAACTAGAACATTAAAAATATAGTAAAATATAACAGTAGGGCAAAAAACACAGTTTCGCAATTATTTTAACTGAAATTGCAATTTGCAATAAGGACTGCAGATAGAAATGAGTTATTAGCTCAAATCTGGCATAATTCATCTCTTCTCTTTTCTGAGTTGAATGTATTTGTATGCATGGTCCTTGTTGAAATAAATACATTTCAACAATACATAATAACTTATAACTCAAGTTAATAGAGTAATTGATAATATTTGTAATCCTCATTACCATTGAAACATCAAATGTGTTTTATGAGTCAGTAAGTTCTGATATGTAGGTTGAGATATCTCTACAACGCCACACTATTTAATTAAAAATGGTATTTAAACACATATTTAGCTTTTAACAAATATTGTGCTTCCTGTTTTTTTAATAGTGCACTAGTCCAGATTGGGATTCTGATAACATTCATATTTATTGTGCAGCCATAGTATAACACATTGTAAAATAAAGGAAAACACTTTATCATGAAAATGAATTGACGGCAATAGAGTGATAGTTATAAACCAATGTTTGCACAGCGATGTCTAAAATATTTCCAAATGATCAGTAATAGTAGGTAATCACATTTGCATCCTTATCAAAGTGCTAAATTAGATTAATAGTCCTAGTTTTCATAAACCAATATCGTGCAACAAAAAGTCGGTGAAATGCATGGGCTGGAATAGGGATGTAGGGAATAGTAGATGAAAATTTGGTGATAATTAATTACGAGAAGAATGATGTAACAGCGCCACACTTATGCAGCAAATAATGACGACAAAGATGAGCTGTAGCTATTGAATACTATCTAAAGATGGATTTAACAAACAGAATTATTTACAGAATGAGCAGAACAAAAAGGAGGAAATTAGGTTACATTATCAAATATGCATTCATATCATAATAGGTCTTTTTTTCAAGCTATTATTTGGTATTTTTAATTATGTAATAGGAACATGCACCACTTCAAAACATGTATTACTCATTCTCAAATCCGTCCTTCCAGTATTTTGTAATGAGTTCCCTTCACTGACAGTGACATGTAGGACACCTGAATTAAAATCAAGAACATTCACACATGTCAGGATGAGGGGGGGGGATGTAAGTATGTTATCAACAGGACATATCTCTTCAGGTATTAATTTCTGCCGTATCTACGCTCACTCTGCTGCAGCGATATGGCTGGCTCATTTGGAGTGTAATACTGTACAGCTGAGAGATAAAGAGAACAGGGCCGAGATTATAACCGCCACAGAGAGAACGGAGAATTACCCAAATGAAAAAAGATGAAAAGCCCTCAGAGATAATTAGCCCTGCTATAACTTGTGTAGAGGAGCCAACTCAAGCTGTTTCTTTTTGGGTTCACTTTTGTCTTGGGATCCAGACACACATTGTTCAGCAGGATAACGAACAGCATTGCTGATGACATTAATAATAAGAGCCAGTGGAGAAGCAATGGGATAATACACCACATACATAATTACTAGTCTCCTTTATGGCCCCACAACGTGACAAAGATGTACTTGTGCAACTATGCAAATGTTATTATAATAAAACTGTTTACTTACATTGAGCTAAATACTCCCAAACCATGGTTATGTATGATCATCAACAAGATGAACACTAAATATTATATATTTCTTAATTTGAAATGACAGATTACAGGGAATTAATCATTTACAGAATATTAGAAAACATTAAGAAAATATTATCCTTTGAATCATAGCTACTGCAAAACGTAGTTAAACTAATGGGAAAATGACATTGAAATTAGTTTCAATACTCCTCAAGACTGGTTCTGTATTTTACTGTAAATCAGATGAAATAAGACTTAAATATTCTTTTCTTTTTTTTAATATTACAGATTACAGGGAATTATTTATTTACAGAATATAATAAAATATAAAGACATTATTAACTCATCATCTGTCTCTTTGATTTGTTTATCATACATATATAAAAAGATAAGAAAACCCTTCAAATTCTCCGGACACAAAAATAACTTGTACTAACTCTAAGCCGGCCTCTAAAAAAAAACGTCCTGCTTTAAGATCCTCAGTAACTAGTCAAACCAATAAATGATTACGGGACATTGAAGATGATGACAGTGCTTACAATAGTGATGAGCGCCTGCCTCAGAATGACTAATCGTCAATATTTCAGTAATGATGTTTAATTGTGTTTCCCTCTCTTCCTCCTTGATGCTGTTAGCGGCTACCGTGCTACATGCCCCGCTGATTGTGGGCCCTGTTTGTGATGATTGTACCATAATTTCTCCCTAAATTGCTGTCACCTTTGATCGATCTCACCGCTTTCCACTTTGCCTCAATTTGCATAATCCTCCTGATTTTTTATTTTTATGCCAGCTCAAATCAGACTGAAAAACATTCACATCAATTCAAAGCTGTAGAGGAAAGAGGGGGATCTCTTTTCCTACAAAAAAATGCTTAAGAATGTCTTAAAAAAACGTCACATACAACCTGTTTAGTGTACCAAAAGTATGCATCTGTTGAAGCACGAGGATAATTACTTTCCAAACATACTTTGTGCTGATGCATGCTCATCGTCTGACAGGAGGAACTCTGAATATTCTCCATATGATTAATTCTGTTTCACAGGAAAAGGTGCGGTGAATTCCTGAATCAACCCACCGTGCCTTCTCTGTTATAATAACATATCTTTTCTAGGCCGGCGGCATGACTTTTCACCGTGAAAATCTCTCTGTAGCGTTCTGCGGGAATGATCAGAATACTAAATTGGTGACATTAATTCAAGCTCTTTTGCCACGTTGAAAAAATGGTGGCCACACATGTCATTTTTTCTCGTCTTGATCTCTTCATTGACGTATGGTTTCTCTGCACACACTATCAGTGATAAAATCCAATTTTTGATAATAGCCTGTAGACGGTAATCAAGATAAGATCGCTCTGCGCCTAACAACGACGAGACATTGACGGATTTTCTCTGGAAAATGATATTTAATATGCATGAGGTAAGGAGGGCAGGAAATGAAGCGTCTGTTCAGCAGAGATATTTATGTGCGTGCCTGTTAACCAGAAAGTGTGTTGATAGGTGTGTGTGTATTTCAGTGTCTTCGTTTGTGTACTATATTAGATTCTGGTCGCCTGTTGATCTGAAACGGTGACTGAACTGACTGGTTTCTCCCCTTGGTTTTTTCTCCCTTTTTTCTCCACATGCAGACAAGTCTCAAAGTTTCGTTTTCTTTGATGATGGTAAGATGTGCTAATTGGATGTAAATGTCAGCATCAGCCGCCATGAGGCTGCAATCAGTGGTTTGCTTGTGTACCAATCACCATCAGTATGCCCTTTGTGTTCCCCTCCATGCTCGGGACTGGGTCGATCCATTGAGTCATCAAATGATTACAGACACCAGCAATCCGTCCTCTGTCACAGATATCGATGCCTCTTCAGATCTCCTCCAATCAACGTGACTCCTCTCTTTGTTCCATATTCATTTTACATCGATATCGTGATATGAGACTGGATAAGGTCTTGGATTTTGAATATTGTTAGTGTTTTCCTGGGTTCAACGGCTGCTCACCAGACTTGTAGCTTTACTTAGTAGTTTTATTTTCCTTTACATACATGGTCTATATATTACTGATGATCATTTAGCAACAATCTCCTTGTGTTTATTACTATGTTAGGGCATCGATGTCGTTACAGTTACAATTGATATTGAGGAATTTGGTCAAAAATATTGCAATATGTTTTTCATATGGCCCATATCATATCGCTCTGAGAATTCTTTGATTTCAAGGAGCCAACTTTTACCTTTTTAGTAATAGATATATATTTCCTTGACTTTTTTGGGGAGATTATTTACAAATGTTTTCAAACTGGTCTCTCAATTACAGTAGTTTGTTCGTGTACAAATTAAATCTTCTCCTTGTCTAATTATTTTGTGAAAGCATCAATATCCAACCCTACGATATCTTCACATTATTCACATTATTGAGGTTAGAGATATTTCCTTTTGGAGATTATATATTAGTTTTCAAACTGATCATAAAATGTGAATTTAGCTTTTACAAAACTTGCCTTTGATGTCATATCCATATGGGGCATTGGTTTATTTACCATCAAAGCAATTTGTTTTCATGCAAGCCAATAGAAGATAATGACAACCTCTTTACATAATTAGGATCCACAATCGACCCAGTCCTTGTGGCCCTCTCATTGTGATGTGACATCAGTCGTATGTGATTGGCTGTGACGAATTCCTAATGTACAGTGCCTCGTTTGCCACTGCTGTATAGATCCTTCCTGTGTTTTACTCGCCTCCTTCAAAGTGCCCTCCACTCTCCACGCTTTGAAGGAAACCAATCATCCCCCCTTTGTGTGTGTGTATTCGCTGGAAGGTCTACCGATCAAAGTTAATCTTTAAGACGTCATAAAATCATCGAGATTCACTGAGCTCTCCTTGCCCAAAGGCTCATGGCTGTTTCACACACTGACACAGAAACAAAGAACCTCAGTGTGTGTGTTGTACGTCTATCACTGTAGATTTCCCGCTGATGTTAAACTGGTGCGTCAGCCAAAATAAATATTAACATCAGTGTTTTTGAACCGCTTAAGCGTAATTTATTTGTCTCTCTCTCTTGTTTGTGACAGAGTGGATTATCCACGTTTGATTTACAGAAATTGCAATCAGTTCCCCCCCCCCTCAAACCAAACCGTGTGAATAATGCAGTAAAGAAAAACCCAACAAACATCCACAGAGATCAAAGGGGCCAATCCAGCCATCCGGTTTCGCCTCCCTCATATTTTTTCATCACTTTCCATTGAAGTTTGTCACATTTGATATGCTGCATCTGTGGTTTCTCTTTTCTCCCTTTCTGTGTATGGAAACGGTTGTGCTCGCATACCAAAAGCTGATGAAACTGTGCAGAAATCTTCACTTAAGTGACAAGTGTCAAATGTGCAAGTCTTAATTAGTCTGCCACTTGATCACATAAGAAACCTTACTCACACACTTCCCACATATTCATAGAGGAGAATTCAGGGCATTGAGTTGCATTCCTTTCTATGAAGAGGTTAAACTGACAGTAGGTTGGAATGACCTCTCACACAGAGAATATTGATCGTTTGTTTCCAATTTTAAGTCCTCCTATCAAATATGTATTTATTTATGGATGTTTTAACCTTCGCTGCACAGAAAGAGTTTGACAAACAATTCATTTGTTTCTCCAAACTCGCCTTGAATCTCTGTTGAAGTTGTGAAAACAAACAGGATTTTTACAATCTTTGCAACTACTGCAGAAGCGATTAGTCGTCCAGTATTAATTTGTTCACTGATTGATACTTTAAACCTCACGTACACTGTTGATGGAGTTGTCAACTTTTATGAGGAAAAATGTTTCTCATATTCATGGCAGATACAAAAACAAAATTAAAAATGTAATCACAAAACTAACTAACTATTCATTCAGTCGTTTTGTGAAAGCTTGCCACGCGTATTGATAGTGATAGTCAACCCTGAACACCTGCATTCATGCTTTGTTCTAGCGGTTGAATTATTTCCAATGCTGAATCTCTCTCACTTAGAAACACAAAATGAATTGCCACTGGAAGATATTGAAGTATGAAGGCTAGCAGTGTGAGCTTCTCTCTGGTGGTCTGACATGTATCCTGTTGATATGGAAGACCACAAAACCCCCTCGCACATTTATGCTTCTGTCTCCCACATCTTCACCTCTCTCTCTGGTAACATCTACTTTTCATCACATTTCACTCTTCTCGTTATCTTTTGATCTTTTCTTTGTTCTCTTTGCATGGCCCTCTCTTGCTATCCCTCCCCTCCTCTCCTCACTGACGTCAATAAGAAATTGGATGGTTTTTGATTATTACATGGCTGTCAGGCTTACTGCTATTAATTGAATTGAATCCCAGTCCATCTCCTTTACTTCTCCATCCCTTCCCTCCCTCTCTGTCTCCCTCTCCCTTCTTATTTTCCTTCTTGTTTGTTCTTTGTTTTTGCTATCATTTTTCTCCCCCCTTCATTCCCTTGGTGTTCCTTTGCCCCTGTTTCTGCTTCTCTCAGTTTCGTGTCTCCTCCTTCTCGTGTCTCAATGTTTCTTCCTTTTCCTCCCGCCTTTTTCTCCCGCTCTCTTCCACCCTCATGTGCCAGCTTTTCCTTCCTCTTGTCATTTTTCTTTCTCTACAGGCTTCTTTTCATCCTTTTTATATACCCCTCGTACTCTTGTCTCCCCCCCTCTCTCTCCTCTCTGATGCTGGCTCTCACTCCTTGAGCACTGTGATACTGTTGTCATGGTGACGCCCATCATTTTCTGGCATGAATGGAGGACAGTTTATTGATGAGACGGCATGGTAAAAGAGAGAGGGTGATGGAGAGGAAGACAAAGACAGACGGAAAGAAAAAGGGGTAACCAGTGGCAGGGAACATCTGAATGATATGGAAATGATCGTCCCCGCTGCTCACCATACAAAACATTTCCACTCGGTAATTTTCTCAGTGCTGATGAGTCGAGAAAATTGCGAGCTGAAAAACGCTGAATCTTGTCGAGGGGTTTTAGGATAGTCGGGGTTGCTGGAGAATATCCCCCCAAACACTATTATCCATCCCTGTGAGTGTGAGAAAGGAGATTCCTCTCTTATTAGGAAGCAGCGAGCTGGTTCCCCCGTGTGTCCCTAGCTGCCCGTGTTTAATGATTTGTCTTGTTGTAAACATGGTCAGAATAATGTGTTTTTGTTTCATCTGCGAATACGGGCGTTGGTGTTATCCGGGGTTGGATGGACACTGTCATTAGTTTGTCGTTGCTGCAGTGTTTGCACACAGTGCAGACTGGCAGAAGCTATTAAAGCAGAAGGCGAGCTTGTTAGAAACTTCTGATGTAGACATCACATTGAGAGGCTTGGCACAGCAGACAGAGATGCAGACAGAGACATACTTCTATGGAGGGTTTTTAGGCATTCGGCTCACACCATTAGGCTGGATGAAGAAATCAGAGCCAGTTTTATATATTTAAAGCATAAATGCGGTAATGAATGTGTACATGTTTAGGATAGTTTAAGGCAGCTAACAATCATTTCTTGTACGAGAAGGATTTAACAGTGTAGCAGAGAATAAGAACATGTGAGGATAAACTGGACTGGAGGTGGATCTCATCTGACTTGTGTTTGACCTCTGACCTTTCCCCTAAGTGCACCTGCTGTCAGAGACGATCCAGGGAGCTACAGCCACCGCCACCGGCATCCAGTACCAGCAGTCCTGGCTCTGCATCCTGTAAGACATCATGTGTCTGTTGAAATATTGATGTAATACAAGAGGTTAACCAACAATAATCAATCCAGAATGTTTGTGAATGTATAGATGTATTCTAGCATCTCAAATGAAAAAACAATCTGCCTCTCCCGCTGTTAGTTACATTCAAATCAAATGGAATATTTGTGGTTTGAGATTTTGCTTGAGAAACAGTCTGTAGGCATCACATTTTATTTTACAATTCATAGACTAACCAATCAATGGATTAAATGGAATACATCAATTTATAATTTGTAAAGGGTTTTGGAATAAAATAAAACGTATTTTAATCCTGATAATATCAGTGTTGGAAGAAGTGTTTGTCATTTAATTTGGAGGAGTTGTAGATTTGAGGAGGTAAAATCATTGATTTCCCTAAACATGAAAATTAAAGAATATAAATAAAAAATGACTACTTTTTGAGATACTGTACATGGATTTATTTCGAAGTGAGAATATGTGAAGGTGGTAAAATAGTCATGTTTGAAACAATTCAATATTTCTGTTGAACTGCAGGATTGAGTGTGGAAAGCCTCTGCAGAATATTTACGTGTGAACATTAACATATACGTGTGTGTGTGTGTGTGTGTGTGTGTGTGTGTGTGTGTGTGTGTGTGTGTGTGTGTGTGTGTGTGTGTGTGTGTGTGTGTGTGTGTGTGTGTGTGTGTGTGTGTGTGTGTGTGTGTGTGTGTGTGTGTGTGTGTGTGTGTGTGTGTGTGTGTGTGTGTGTGTGTGTGTGTGTGTGTGTGTGTGTGTGTGTGTGTGTGTGTGTGTGTGTGTGTGTGTGTGTGTGTGTGTGTGTGTGTGTGTGTGTGTGTGTGTGAGATCGCCGGCTCACCAAGCACATTTAAATATTGTCTACCTGTTGCTGCAGAGAGAGAGAGGTTAATCTATGGAAATGAAGGTGAGGTGAGGCGGTGACATTTATAACAACCTCTTCCTTCTCCCTCTGCTCTCCAGCTGCAACGTGAAGTATCTCCAGAGGCGTCACGTGTGCATCTCCCGCCTGGAGAGGCCACAAAACTGGGGGGAGAACTGCTGCGAGGTCCGCTATGTCATCCTGATCCTCGCCCCGTCCAAAATGGTAACTGCCGCCCCCCCGAGGGAGGAAATGATACGGGGGGATTTATGTCACTTTGCTGCATTACTGAGACATTTGAAGACCAACTTGTTTGGCATTTATTAATATATATTCTTATATTCTTTACATTATCTACCGTATTTGTCCTTTTGTCCTTATTTATGAATTAGCTTTTTAGTTCTTCAATTAATCACTAATAACGGGCTGTGAAGAAATGTTCTCTCCTCTTAGCAGAAGTGTTATAGTCATGTAAAGTGTGTTAGCTGCAGGTGTATGGGTTAGTAAAGTCCATCTCACTGTAATCATCCCTAATTGATCATTTGCATACCCTCCTGCTTTCATCTACTGTAACTAAAAGAACGTGTATTAGTTCCAACTTTTAATGTTATTCTCCTCTTGAAAATGCTGGTCCAGTCTGCCACCTGTCATGAGTCCAATTAAGTTTTGTTTGCTTAAAAGCATGCTCAGTTCTGCATGAAACTATTGAATGGATAAGGATCACTATATTTCTGCGTTTGCATATTTTCACCCCCAAATGCACAGGTTAGTTTTCAACAGGATTGTATGGCTCCATGCCTCTAAATACCTGTTGTGTTGCTTCCTTCAAGAAGACCATAATCACATGTTAGACACAATCATGTTGTGATGATGACAGTTTGGAAAATGGTTTTCGTAATTGAAACAGAAATGAACCACAGTATTTACATCACATGACATAATCAAACAATGAAACCACAGAATGCTACGACATTTATTTGAGGGGCTCTGTCAGGCTGTGTTATATGGGAGTAGTAACAGTGTAATTACGGTGTAATATAGGGGTCTTTTTGGTGTTACATGGGTGTAATATGGTTCTAATATTAGTGAAACGTTGATGTGAGGACAGTGTAACATGGGAGTAATAACAGTGTAATAACGGTGTATTATGGGTTTAAAATGGGTCTAATAACAGTGTAACCTTGGCAAAATAAGGGAGTAATATGGGCGTAATAACAGTGTATTATGGGTGTAAGGTAAAACATATCGAATCAATCACATTTCCAAAATATTGACTGCCCATTTAAGGGTGAAAGAAATATAAATCTTAATTTTAGGTTAATTTGCTTCCAGTTTTTCTTGCGTTTTATATTTCAATTCACTAAAATATAGAAAGTGCTACTGAAAGAGCAGCTAATCTGTCTGTTGAACTGAATCCAATCCAAAGCCCTCACAGCGTTTTGTGTGGGCGCGAGTGTCCTGGCCGTCGGGTCACTGTTGAGCAGTATTGCTGTTTCTCCTTCAGCCTCTGCTGTTGCCGATGGAGTGCCACATATCCTGTAATACCCTTCTCTCCCATCAAAACATGAACTCTTTCTTCTTCCCATCAAACCACTCAGCCCTTCTGTCCTCCACTGCTTCATCCTGAGCTTTTAGCACACACACACACACACACACACGCACACACACACACACACACACACACACTCACACACACACACACACACACACACACACACACACACACACACACACACACACACACACACACACACTTCACTCTCCCATCTTCACATGGCACTGATTGTTGTTCCTCTCTCGATTGGAAACCTCCAATCCTACACCGTCTCTCTGCTGTAAAAAAGGGATTTATTCATGCTGTGCCTACTTTTAGTGTGGTATCCCCCACTAAGAACTCAATTTTCCCGACCCACCATCAAACTGTGGAACCACCAGGGGGCTGGAGTGACCCTGGCAATCAGCGATGCTTCAGCTAACTGCATCGGGTTTTCTGTTTGTTTGTTTGTGTGGCTCTGTTTTCCCCATGAGCCCTCCCTTTTTTTCAAAAATACTTCCAGCGCCCTCCTTGCCAGTCCTGCATGCAGCAATCACAACCACTAATGGCCTTCTCGGAGACATTAATCTAAGCCCCAAGTAAACATAAAGCACTGTTATGTCTCAATGAACCTTGATGGGCACTGGTTCTGCGACAAGAAACCTTTGAAGGGGCATGATGATAATTATAATGGGAATTCCTTTGGTGGGCAAATGTGTGTAGTCATGTTGCGTGTGAGTACTTCCATCACACACCATTTAGAAAGCTTCACAGCATTTGTGGCTTTTTTCGTTGTCTTTACCCAGCGTGGATGTGCTGAACGTGACCTTTCTTTAAAAGTGCTGTTTCTCATTCACTGTTGCCCTCAAAGAAGCTCCTCTACTGTAGCTCCACTGCTAGTTGAACAAGCTTCCCTCAGTCTTTGATGTTGATCGCACAGTGTTAATCACAGTTGGCTACATTTCTACACACACACTTTCCCAGTTTCTCTGGTTAATCAATCTAATGACCTTCAAACCAAGAGGATAAATCCAACTGAATATGTTGTTCTCTCCACTTTTCCTCTACAAGCAGGTCACATTTCTCAAATATCAGCATTGATGAGACAATGACACTTATTGTTCCTAGTAGATTCCAGTAGAAAAGCATTGTTGATCCCATGAATGTTCCACTACTGTCACCATCAGGTGGATATGTCAATACAGCTATTTGATGGTATCATGAAATGCACACATGACATTCATTTCCCCTCATTTTCACTTGATTAATTGTAATGATCCAATGACTGAAATCAAATCATCATCTCCTTATTCAACAATTCGGAAGATGTTTCGCATTATGGGCCCGTTTAAGAGAAGCTAATTGTTTGGATAAACAAACGTAGTAATGCAGCGTAACATTATTCATGCTCCTGTTGATTGGTGCCTAATTTACGTTACAAAGGTAGGTCCAAGTGAGTCACTCGAGGTTTCAAGGATAAACAAACATCTCAATAGGAAACACATTTTCACCCTAACATCCCACCTACACAGACTTTGGTGCCTTTTGTACACTTCTATTTCCTTAGAAGTAGTTATATAAATATATGGATTATATATACATTGAAATGCATTGTTTTTTGTAGGCACACTCTAACAGTGAATGAGAACAAACCCCGCAGTCGGGCTGAAGGTGCTTTATTGTGAAAGCAAGCCTTTACATTCATCGAGATCCATTCTCTGGGCTCTGGTTGATATTCAGTCAACACTGTGAAAAAGCTTAAAGGCTTTAGTTGCTCTGTTTGCTGCAGCTGCTTCTACTGCACGCGCTGAGCCCCTCCATGTCGGTATCATCATTCCCTGGCACACCGTCTCAGAGCCTCCCAGGACATTATTACCATCGCCCTGTGCCTTGTGATGGCATTATTTCCAACAGATGTGGGAAAAAGCGCCCCAAACACCCGACTCCAAACCTGTCCGTTTGTTGAAGCAGAAATGTTTACATAGTCTTTATTATCAGACCAGATTCTATATATCCAGAACTGCATTGGAAATAGAAGCATGAGTTTCAGTGCATTACATTAAATATGTGTTGCAAGTAAGAGATATTCAATAATGGCATTTTAAGTTGTGATTGCTTATAGATTGCAATATGATACAACACATTTTGAATTGAAAGGGAAATTAAATTATACATAAATTGACCAGGTGAAAATGTTTTTGGCAAATTAAACACCAGGAAAACAATTCGATTTAAAAATAAATAAATATATATAACATTTCTAATAGTATTTATGACAGTATATAGTGATCTAGATTCTAGACCAATACCATTTTTTAAATTGTGATATTTTGACCTTTTTAAGCCATACATTTGAATAAAAAAATGAAGCTGCAGTGATCTCGACTTTTGTTTAAACATTTGCTGACCTAATTGGTGTAGTTTGAAAGAGGTAGAAGTAAACCAGCAGGGAAAGATATTTTGACTTTGTGATTCCCTTAAGATCTACAAAGCGTTGCAGCATCTTTCAGCTTATTGTTTTAGTTTACTAAAACGCTACATTACTCTTTTAAATTACCTCAAAACACAAACCATTGCCATTTTCCACCTCATGAGGCAGCTGTTCTGTATGCTAAAGCTTTGAAAAACACAACCGTCTTACTGGCTAAACGGCAAGATATGTCCCTTGCATGATGGTGGAGACCAAAACTGAGCGAAAAGCAGAATGAAAAAAATTCGACTTCAATTCATCAGCTGGACGCAAACACCACTCCAGTGTAATCCTTATGTTGTTCTATGTCAACTCATTGCATACAAAAGGAACTATTAAGCCATTAGGTTATACTATGTCAGTGTTGTCACTACAGCTACATGTTATTGGTTTTACATTGGTTTAACAACCAGCCATCTTCACAATGCATCACCTCTTCCATATGCTCTCCCTTACAGAAAAGCACCAAGACGGCGATGGAGCTGGGCAGGACGTTCGCCACGCTCTTCTCCGACATCTCCTTCAGGCAGAAGCTCCTGGAGACCAAGACCCAGCAGGAGTTTAAGGAGGCGCTGGTGTTCCAGAGGCACCAGCTGACTGCAACCCTCCAGCAGCCCACCGCCCTGGGGAAGGAAGAGACGGACCCCCGCAGTCAAAAGCCCCTCGAGGTGGGTACCGGTTTTTATATGTGTGTGTGAGAAGCATATCCTGTGTGCACAACCTTTCAGTGTAAGGCGATGAGGCACATTTCCACACATTATAAAGCACCGTCTATTCACATTATGAGTCATTTCCCGTGCCCTGAGATGAGGCTTCGTTAGCACTCACTAATTTTCCTCTTCATGTCAGACTTAATGAATTTCCCGAAATCTTGTCCTCCTATATCTTCCTCCTCACCTTTTACCTACGTCTCCTCATCTCATTTCTATACAGCGCTCTGAATAGATATACAACTATGCACATTCATTTACACATTTCAACTTTCTTTTTTACCCCGCTTCCAATTATTTTTTCATTTCTAACACCCCACCTCCTCCTCCTCCTCATCATCATCATCCTCTTCCTCCTCTTCGCTCAGTTGGCGTGACTCCTCCATCTTTTCCCTCCACCTAATCAATCAGCATCAACTCCTGCCAGGCCTCCTCAGTGGGCAAATGACCTTACATCTCTCACAGTCCTGTCAGATCTCCCCACCCTTTAGCTACATGTACACACACACACACACACACACACACACACACACACACACACACACACACACACACACACACACACACACACACACACACACACACACACAAACCACACACACACACACCTCTAGAGGGGCTCTGCTCAATGCCACAGAGCAACATTTCCTCTTAATGTTGCCGTTGACAGGCCAGGGCTCCCAGACATTTCCCCTTTTTTTATAGTGCTGGATTTTGTTAGGTGTTTATCCCAGGGCTTGAAAGGCTCAGTGCCACTCAGTGAAAGCGCGATATATAGAGAGAGAGAGAGACAGAAAAGGCGAAAGAGGGATGGTAGGTGGTGGAGCAGGTGAAATTAAGAGGGAACAGAAAATGAGAGACCACCTCCTTCCTTTTTCGAAAATTGGCATCGGACCACCTGCAAGAACACACCACTTTCCTACACTTTACAAAAACAAGGCCAAATGGTTTGTTTTGTGTTTTTATGTTTTTCCTTCCCATTGCCTCTCTCTATCGACCGTTTAGGAAGAATGGCTAACAAGTGGACAGTAATTCCAAAGCGAGACTTTTGTTTATCGAACCTGAGCAAAGAGCTGGTGATAAGGCCCCACACACACACACACACACCCACACACACACCATGTATACATTACTTCAGGGGACATTACATTGACTTACATGCATTTCCTGGAGACTTATCCTAACCTTAACCATAACCAACACATGCCTAACCCTAACCCTAACCAAGTCTTCACCCTAAAATTAATGATTCCCCTCATGGGGACCTCCATTTTGTCCACACACACACACACACACACACACACACACACACACACACACACACACACACACACACACACACACACACACACACACACACACACACACACACACACACACACCACACACACACACACACACACACACACACACACACACACACACACACACACACACACACACACACACAGGGCTCCCTTGTAATAATAAATGATTCCATGATGTATGAGGATTTAATGGATGAACAGTCCTTGTTGAGCAAGCGTGTGTGGCTTCATAAAACTAGCCGGCGCACTCAGGGAGAAAAGCAGAGATGCTGTTGTTTTGTTTTCAGGTTGTTTAAAAATGCTCCGTTCTGCCAAAAAACGTCAAAAGTCTTACGGATGACGAATGAGGCAGGAGTGATTTTCCTAGGGGCTTTTCCTACTCGCACACACACCTTCGTCACCCCTAGTTGTGTAATGCCATGTTCAACAAGAAAATGAAACATTCGGTAATTAGATCATTTGCTTAATAAGCTCAAGAAGGACTGCTCATTTGCTCTATCGTGTTTAACCTTAAAGCTTATGTTTTAAAGAAGCACTTTATGTCTCTCTCTGTGAATCACGTGTTTCTTTCCCCAGCGTCTTCCTCTTGACATCTCTAAAAATAATCTTCCATCCCTTGCAGTTAGCTGTCGTCTCTTCGTGATTCTTGATCGTTCAGGGATCTTTTTTTAAATCTACACAAAATGTAGTCCAGCTGATCTGCTTACTTTGTTTTGGATTACGCAAGTGAAGCTTTCCTCGGACTATCTCGTTAAGTTTTATGATTTCAAATCAGCTTTCCGAAAGCCCCCTGTGGAATCACCAGGGTCTTAGCTGAATCATCAAATGGGTCATTTTTCATTTGTATTTCATTGTCCATAGCACAGTGCACCATGGAATAAAGTGTATGAGTGGTATACAGCCTCTGGCTTTGTGTGTTGTTGCAGACTTGGGGGTCACCATTACAAATGATCAAAATGCCTTGGAGCAAAATGTTAACTTTCCAAAAACGTGATACACTAAAAAGGAAAACGGAACTAGCTTGTGAAGCACTCGTTTTTGTTAAGCTGGTTACGGTTTCTCCAAATGGGATAAAAACTAGTCCTACAAATACCAACCAGAGCCACCTATAGGCGAAGAAAGAAAATGCTTCTGCCATTTTAACGGCTACATTTGCACAAACAATCAATGAGTGCAGTTTTGTCTCCACTATATAAGTTTATGTGTTTCCCTTTATTTGAAAAATGTCTACCTAGCAAAAAAGGTAAATATCATAATTTATTTTCTCACATTTTGCTTTATCATTATTAAAGTGAAAACTCAAAAAAACGATATAACAATACAATTTCGCTTGTGCCTGGAAACACAAAAAACCTTTGAAGATTGTGTTATCTAATATTGCTCTTTCTAAACAACAACAGATGTGTAAAGTTTAACATTAATATATTCTGCGCCAAACACAGAATCAACCCACATTGCAAAATCACTCTTTTTTTAATAAGCAAATCAAATCTGCGTCTGTTGATGGTTCACACTGGCATGTTTACTCCTACAGATTACCGCTGATACTTAGCCACGTGTGTGTAACCTTTCCTCTTGTGTCCACAGTATAAAGACTTCTTAAGAGCCGGCCGGGGGATTTACGAGGACCTGTGCCGCCGTCTACCTCACTACCCCTCCGACTTCACAGATGGTGAGCTGGCCCTTATTGTAGTGAGAGTGACTCATCTTCCTTAATGTGCCAGGGTGCTCTGGCAGCTCCTCGTTTGTCTGCCACCCTTTGCCTCGGACACCCCTGTGCTCCATCTGTGTCACATCTAGCGTTGTCTCCTGCTAAAATGTCTTGCTGCTCCAATATGGTCCAACATCAATGTAATTTCCCAGGTCATCAGGCAAGCATATTGCGCTGTACATTGCAGAGTGGAGGTTTTATTGACTCTTCAAATCCTTCTCTATCGGTGAAAAGGTTTCTGTCATCAGTCAAATGAAAGTACACATGTTGCTTGACCTTTATAATTTAGCATTTATATATATATATATTTCTATACAGTATGAATATGTTTCTGTTTAGCAGCAACTAGAGATGCTTCCAAATTTCAGGGAATAATTTCACTCAGTTTTCGTTTTGAAGTGAACGCAAATGCTTGATTTAATTAGATACATTAACTCTGTTGACCTTGATTGTTGTAAAGAAAGTACATTTATGGAGAGAGAGAGTTTTTGCGGCTGCTCTCTTTTAGTCACTACTCATTTCATAACATCCAAACATGTATATCAGGCTGTAAATAAAAAACAAAGATACTTCTGTCTTGTGAGGGTCATCAGATAATGATCCTGTAATGGATGTCACAGGACCAAAATCCTTGCGATCACATTATAGCCATATCTAACTGTTTTATTCCAAAGCAAGTTATCTATCATTACTATAATAGCGATAACTGCTCTTAAAGTGGCCGTATTATTCGAATTGAAGGGTTCATTTTTTATTTTCTACCTCTACTGCGACATGTCTCCATGTTTTAATATTCGAAAAGCTCTCATACTACCTGTGCTGCAGCACCTCTTTTCACCCTCTGTCTGAAACCAGAGCCCAGTCTGCTCTGATTGGTTAGCTGGACGGCTCTGTTGTGATTGGTCAACTTCTTAGCGGAGAGTGTGTGGGAGAGAAACTCTCTCTGGAGAGAACTTGGGGATTTTAGCCTCTGCAGACCATTTACATGCACTAAAACCTATATAACACAGTAGGAAAGGGAAAACCCAGAAAACATAATGCCTCTTTAAAAAATGATGTTTTAGTTTTTAATGGGCAGTATTTAGTATAAGCCTTTATAAAATAGTTGTACCATATGTACTCGATGTTTCCGTACTGCGGAGGCCCTGAATGATGTTGTCTGTTAATGTTTTTGTCACCTCGAAATGAAAGCCTCCTCCGCTCCATTATGAGGTGAACATGACTCATGTGTTTGTGTTTTTCTCCCCTCAGGTATAGTCGGCAGTAATAAAACTCTGCTGAAGTACATGACCACCGCCATCTTCCTCTACATCGCCATCCTCCTCCCCGCCATCGCCTTCGGATCCCTCAACGACGAGAGCACACGTGGGGAGATAGGTACGAGCATGTCTGAACAGAGTTGGGAGGTTACTTTGAAATGTCTTCCGTTACAATTACTAGTAACCTGTACACAAAAAACAACTGGTAAAGGGTAGTGACAGCTGTCTATGTAGATAGATGGATAGATAGACAGATAGACAGACAGACAGACGGACGGACGGACGGACGGACGGACGGACGGACGACAGACAGACAGACAGACAGATAGATAGATAGATAGATAGATGGATGGATGGATGGATAGATATATAGATATATAGATGGATGGGTACTTTATTGATCCCAATTTGGGAAATGTTAGCATAAAAACACAAGGCAATGTACATAAGAGAAATTAAGACACAAGAAATAAACATTCCAAAATATTTCAGAAATAGAAATAAAAAAGCATTACAAATTAAAAAAGTTAAAGAATAGAAAATAGAAAATATATATACATGTGGAAATACAAATTTCCAGTAACAAATATAATGCAGGATATAATTGTGCAAGAATGGATTATTCAATTTTAAATAGAACATGAATGTAAAATGTACAGTGGGAGTTTAAGTCCAGTTATTAAGAGATGCTATGGAGCCGAGTGTCCAAAAGTGTCATGTAGCAGCATATAGAAATATGGATTAGTAAAGCTTTAGAATGGAGTAAAATAAAAGTTGTTTTGATCATATAACCTCCCTGTTTGCTTAATCTAATTTCCTCCAGCTTGTTTTCAGCTTTACAGAAGAAACTTGCTGATTCATGAGATTAATGAGTACCCATCAGTACTTCCTCCTGAGTTTTCTCTGTGTGTGTCCTCTCTGGCCAGATGTTCGGAAGACCATCATCGGCCAAAGCATCGGCGGGGTCATCTACTCATTGTTCGCCGGCTCTCCTCTAGTCATCCCCCTCACCACCGCGCCCCTCGCCATCTTCATCAGCGGTAGGCTTTCCCCTCTTTCACCCAGCTCTGCTCAGCCAACACACACTTATCTTTTCACAGTTTCTGCCGACTGTTGATTTGAAAAAGTAGCCCGGGGTCAGGGGGGGGGGGGGACTACATCGAAAATCAAGAGAAGGAGGTGCCCAACCGTGTAGAACAGCACCTAGAAACTCCTCATCTGCTCCTTCTTTAACCAGAAAACAGCACCTTTGGAGTCATTTAGCTGTTTTTCACACCAAGGCATGTGTTGGCTATGAGTGTTCCTGGTGCAGTGAAGAAAAAAGCTGAATCAAGATAATGTTTTCATCACAGAGAGAAAGGGAGTTTTGTGACAGTTGTTATAACAAACATAAAAAGTAAGAACATAAGTAGAAATGTGCACAATATTTATAAATATATCACAATACATATGTAGACATATTCATAATAAATTCAATATATTCAACACTGCAAACATTAAGACATGTAATATACTCATTTTTCATATTTATTGTTATTTTTTGTACAATGTGCATTTTTACTTAAACTTCTAATGTTAATATCAAGACTTTTATTTAGTTTTATATTTTTCTGCACATATTAACTTAACTTTTTCTGTTTATATAACTTTTCTTTGTTTTATTTTAGTTTTTTTTCACACTTTTACATATTTTAAAATAAATATTAATATTATTTGCACATTTTTACTTAAACTTTTTATGTTAATATAAACATTTATGCAACTGTCATGAAACCCAATTTCCCCATGCATAAGTCAAGTATTCTGTTTCTGATATATACAGCGGTGTATTAATAAATATGTTAATGCTTGGAACAGAAATATGGCGCCAAATGTGCGATACGGTAATAATCCTTAACGATGCACTGTTGAAAAATTGCACAAATGACATAGATTGAGTATTGTAAATAGAATATATCTCCAAAACAATATGATTTTCAGGAATTAATGGGGAAGATGTTACATAATGTTTGGTTTGAGGAGCCAATGGGTGAGGAAACTAGCTCACCCACGATACCGTGTAAACTTTATATTCAGTAGTGAGCGACAATAAAGCGTTATGTGCACTGCTGTCAGTTTTTACCCGGCAGCGGTGTTTTGTTGGATTTTAAACGATGGTGACGGCATCAGGCAGCGATGAGATGAGCAGCGACCCCGATGCCAAGATGTAGTTTTTTTTATACCGAAGCTGTTTGTTGGGTTTGTGGTGTGATGATCTTTGAAGTAAATGGGTTAGATTTCTGCTAAGCACATTCCCATGGGGGTAATTACGGTAAATTTCCAGCAGCCTTTCTGAGCAGAACAATGGCTTGTTTGTTAAGTTGTAGCTCATCTGCACACAAATCTAAATTGTCATAGTCCTAACAAACACATTTAAATGTCTGTCATTCTCATGTTTGAGTGAAAAACGTAATATTTTCCTTTTCATTGTGTGATTTCTAAGTCAAATATCTGCTATAACATGCATAGAAGTTTATCAAAAAAACTATTCCTCAGTTTTACGCTTATATTCAATTCCTTTTCAAGAATCTGTATTCACAGAATACAAAGAGATTATCGATTCTGTAAATTAATAAACCTAGTTTCTTTTTCATTTTTATATATTAATTGAACCATCATCGATCACTCTCCTTTTGTTGTGGTTTTTTGCATACAATTTCAATTTCAATGTGGCACATGTTACCCAGAGGAGGGTAGCACTGGTGTTTAATTATAAGAGAAGACTAGCTTACTGCTGCAAAAGACCAAACACATGTCAATTGTTAAACACTAAGTTCTGAGATGGTTGCATTGCTAATGAGGAGTAATTATGTCTCAGATCTCTATGATCTATCTGAATTGTTCTGTGTATTTGTTTGTATACACATGCAGTGATACGAGGAATCTGCGACGACTACAACCTGGATTTCCCCGCTTTCTACGCCTGCATCGGTTTGTGGAACTGCTTCTTCCTCATCCTGGGAGGCATCTTCAACGTCAGTCTGCTCATGAAGCTCTTTAAAAGGTATTTCTCATGCAGTTCTACCACCATTTCAGTAAAATCATACCTATGAGGAAATTATTTTGCTGTCTCCCTTCTCTGACAAACAGAAAATGTTTTTAATTGGGCGTTAAAACGTCAGTATCTGCAGCAGAATCACTGACACTCAATGGAAAATCTGTTTTCTACAACAAACAGATTTCAGAGAGGATTCAGGGTGACAGCTCTCCTCCCAGCTACCACACATCCAGAGTTTTATATCGTTCCTTCTGCTTCCCTATTGCCTTTAGCCAAAACCAAAAGATTTGAGGGGGAAATCGACACATTTTCTGCATTAATTTATCATTTTGAAATATATATTGATTGCATAATGTAATGGCTGTAGAGTAATGAGACCATCTGCATTTAGATTGGTTCCCTATACTATAAGTCTCGCTCTCGCTATCCCATTATGTCTGCCTGGGAAAGTGAAGGCTACATTTACGGCACAAAGCTGCGGAAAACCAAATACAGTGTGTCCTGCGCAGTGTTGCTAACTTATGTTTCATGAAATTAGCCATAACTAGCTCCAAATGTCGCCAGATAATATAATACATCTGATCATCATGCATTCATCTGCATCAAAGGAAGAGACACATTACATTAGCATAAAACGCTTCATTTGTTGCTAGAAACATGCTCTGAGGAAAACGAAAAACAATGTGGTTATCTTTGCAACAGTGACACCAACATAAAAAAGTTGGAAACACCTGGAAGAAAAATAATTAAAATGTCATCTTCAATAGAGAGGCGAAGTCCCTGCATTTCCGGTGACCACCATGGGACCTTATTTCGGAAAAATTATGTATTGAAGTCAATGGAGAGAGAAAACGTATCTTTCGATCCCGTTTGAATTGTGCCACGAATTACACATATGATGTTTGTCAATCTTAAAAATTATTTCCATGTCAAAAAAGTCACAATTTGTGGTAAAACTGTTGAAATATTAGACTATGAAAAATACGCAACTAGAAAGACTACAAATCCCAGAATCCCGGTCCCGCATGCTGGCTCTTACGGAACCGACTAACTCCCCTTGTGTGTATGTACAGCTCTCAACAATCTCAGACTTGTAGTGATTTTCACCTCGTTTTATACTTTTCGCCTCATTCTGAAAGAAAGAAGTGAAATGTGCCAACGTGACGGCCGTCTTGGTGTTGGTGCGAGATGGGAGATGTAGTTCATTGAGCGTTTCACACACAAAGTGTTACTTCACAGTTTTACAACACATTTAAAAAACTTTGACTTGCAACATTTTTTTTTTTTAAATTGACAAACATCATATGTGTAATTCGTGGCACAATTCAAATGGATAAGATAATCTTTCTCTCTCCATTGACTTCAACACATACTTTTTCCGAAATAAGGTCCCATGGAGCTCCCCCGGCAGGGGAGGGACTTCGCCTCTATATACTCTGCCCTGTCTAATTTGGTGTGTCAAAGGTCACCATGACCTCACTTGCGATATCTCAGAAACACCTGAGACCAATTTGGGAACAACATCATCGGATACACTGATTTTATTTTGAGGGTCAAGGGTTAAGGTCACATTGATGTCACAAGGCAGGTATTTGGCCATAACTCAATAATTCACACAGTAATTATGACAATTTTAGGATACAATGAAGAAGGACGATGTTTTTCAACTGACATGGATGCTTACTGCAAACACGCATGTTTATTTCTTTCTAATTTTTGTTTTTATCAACACTATTTTTTTCCTCAATAGTTTTGTTTTGCCTCTTAATTAATGTTTCTTTGTTTCTCTAGGTCTACAGAGGAGGTCATTGCGCTCTTCATTTCCATCGCATTTGTGGTGGATGCAGTGAAAGGCACAGTCAAAAGTAAGTTCCCAAACACACAGCAAATACCTCTTTTCTATGAACTCACATAAATGTCTCTCTCACAGTCTCCCATTTATGTTTTTCCCACATACCTGTCATTTTGCAATTCAATATTTTATAGTCCGCTCTGACTCCAGCATCAAACCTGCCGTCAGAGCCTCCACTAGTACAGCCTCAAATTCATGTGTCATTCTCAAGAAAGCCAATTGCACTGAGAGAGAATAATTAAAAATGCCCAGATTTACACTTTGGAAACGATTATCCACACTTTTTAGATACGTTTGCAGCTCACTAATGCCCCGGCCACACGAGGACGAAAACGGCTAAACGCATAGGATTAACGCAAACGCAATCGCAAAAAAGCTTCCGTCCACACGCAATAGTCATCCGGATAGTGTCTGTCCACACGAGACAGCTCCGTTTAGCTCCAACCGCTGGAGAAGCTGCAGTACATATGCAGGAGCCTGTACGTGGCGCTGTAACTTCCTCCACAAAAGCAGCGAAGAAGCATGGTTGTCATGGTTGCCCTTCTGTTTATTCTCCGTGGTGGGGGCCGAGGGAACCGGGCAGAGTTTTTCGCCAGTCAACGTGTATTAAAGTTTAAATCTTCCGACAAAATTATAAAAGTGCCAGTCAAAGGTCTCCTTTGTTATTTATTGAGCTTTAAAACAAATGAATAACGAATCTATATATTATAATAATAAAATACACGGAGCCTCTCTTTTTCCTCCCTCTCTTCGGACAGCGCCAGTGTCTGTTTCATGCAGCAGCTGATCCAGTAATGAGTGACCCGGCCGACAGTAAAAATAAACATATTTATATCTAGTTTAGGTAGTTTGAGAGGTAATTAAAATAGCTAAGGGTGATGATCGGACTTGAAATGTGTGTTTTACTCCGTTCACCGCCGCATCACAGCGGGAGGAGCTGCAGGTGAGCAGAGCTGCGTGTCTCCGTCCTGTCAGATTAGACTTCACTCGCGTTTAGGTCCATATCGAGAGAAAGATAAATAATCTGAATTCAGTGTGCAGTTTACTTTGACGCGGGGGTGAGCAGCAGAGGTGGGGAGAGGCGGGGCTATTGCCTCATCATTATCAGAAAATGATCGTATAGGGCGTACACACGGAGCCGTTGGACCCCCCAGAGCGTTGCATATGCCGTTCTATCCACCTTGGGACCCGTTATCGTTTACGCAGTCGTTTAGTGCCGTATTCGGTCGTCCTCGTGTGGCCGAACGGTCTATATGACACTAAACAGTAACGCAAACGACCGTTTTCGTCCTCGTGTGGCCGGGGCATAATTAGTGTGGTTTCCCCAACTGGAGAATTCTTTGTTGACTGATGCTAATTAGATCTCTTCAACTGATCATTTAGTCAATTTGATTGAAAATATCCCTTGTTATTTTTCCGTATTATCGTCTGTTTGCAGATGAACACTGTAATTTATATTCAATAAACCCAGCACACAGAACAAGCCATACTTTTGGTTATTATACAGTAGTGGTGCAGGATAGACAATTCTCTCAAAAATAAACCATACATGACAGCCAAGAAGCAACCATTTGATTTATTAACTTATCAACATAAGCAGTCATTGTTTTCAAGTTTATTGCATGTATAATAAATGAGTATTTTGTCCAATTAAAAGTAAGAAGCAGAGTTTTTTAGGTGGTTCAGCAGACTGAGAGGCAGAGATACTTCGTAGTAAATTAATCAATCCAGCTTTCAAACCCAGCCTGCAGCCAAACTACCCCCTCTCCCGCCTTCATATCATATCATAAATATTTTATACAATTTAATTTGCGACAAATGAGATGACGATAGCTGGATGTAATTTATTTTGAACGCGATGTAGTCGTGGAGATTGCTGGCGCTGTAGTTCAATTTTCAGAAACCATTTGTAGAATACGCTCCTAGCTCATATGCCATTACCATAACATTAACCTATGCCATTTTGTGTACACTTTCCATCCAAAATAGTTTGCAGTACAATGAATATGAGTGTGTTACCAGTCTCCTGTACAACTTTGTTTGCCTCATAACTTTCTTCTGGTTTGATGAAACGGCATGCAGAAGGAGCCGCTTGCAGGTCGTTTCACTCTCTGCAAAGAAAGTGATGATCAGAATGGTTTCTACTGTTATACACAAGGTTGTTATTTAAAATAGTTCTAAAAGCTTATCTAGTTTAACATCCCAACCTTCAACATGATGCTCACTTAAGAAGGAGACTTACATTATGGTTGGTTGTTTATCCTGTAGATCTAATAAGGGTATCAGGATAAATGTCATTGGTCAAGTTCAATAAACTACAGTTGTTGTTGTTTTTGCCAGCACAGAGATAAATCATACAGATGTTGAAAGTTACACAATTACATAACAGTACATTCAATTCCTGCATAAAAAAAGAAAAGACTACACCAATGTTATATGTTAAAATCAAAGATATCCTTAAAATGAACAGTAACAGTTTTTATTTGGCCCCTGAACTAGGAAGCATCCCTTTAGTGTAGCGTCACGGTTATCGGCAGCCACATTTTGACGATACACCTTTTAGATCCTGGACATTGTTAACTGAAGATTGTAGCTAGATTTTAGTAATTGGATGTCTGGATCTTTAGTTAACAGACATAATGCTAAGCAAACTAGCTGCCACACACTTTTAATGACGGTATGTTATTTTGGAGAGGATGACACTGTGAATATTTCAGCTCTTGATCAAAAACCTCTTGAACATCTAGCTCTCAAGTTGTCAGATAAACAGAGAAAACATTAGCCTTTAGCTAGCAGCCGTTCCACCCTGTTTCTGCTAGGGAAAACACAATGAATGTTACTGTTTCTACCTGATTCACTCATAGATGCCATTTGTTTTGGAGAAAATTAGACTTTTGTGAAGAAATGGTCTTAAAACAAACCAAAAAGTTGACTCCAATAACAAACTCCAATTATCTGCGACGCCACCAAACTCATCCTTTGAGAGCCCCCTAGTGGCAGAAAATAATTTATCGTCATTTAAGGAATCAGATTGACTGTTGATCCAGTCACTGCCTCACAACTGCCTTTCATTTTCATTAAAACTATTATCTCCTATATCTACTGTGTGTGAGTGTACAAAGACATGAGCAAAATAGTGCTTTCTACCTTCAGTGAATATTTGTTATGATCCAGTTGATCAGGTTTCAGTGCAGAGCCACAGCTCAGCTGAGGTTTATCTCCCTTTTATGTTGTTTTCTCTTCTCTAGCGATCCCTGCACAGTTTACAGTCCCTGTCCTCCATGTCTACTCACCCAGCAGTGTCCCTTAATGTAATATTTTAAATGATCTTTCTATGGGGATTCGAGCATGAAATACGCTCTCTGTTTTTAAGGCTGCTTGTTGGCAAATAATATTTCTTGCAGGAGGCATGTCGTTTTGAAAGTATTTGATATACATTTTTTTAGTGAATATACAAACAGGGTAGTATTGATTTCATTGGGAGTTAAAAACGTTCAGGGTATATGAAAATCACTAGGATTCATCCTCTGGGAACCATGAATATCTAACATTTAATGACAATCTGTTTTATATGTATTACCATATTTAATAGAATGGCTAAACTAGATTAACTAGACTCTGTGGATGTTCAGTCTTTCTCAGGTACTACCACCCACCGACGCTTGGAAACACAACCGTACAGATCCTCCATCAGGCTGGAGATCTGCTCGGGGGAAACAGGAGCGAGGCGGCGGGATACGCTCTCAACGCCCTCCCCGAAACCGTCATCCATTGCACTCGAGAGAGGCCGCTCCTCTGCATGCTGCTGATGCTCGGGACGTTATGGATGGGCTACACCCTGTACCAGTTCAAAAGGAGGTACGTGCAGCGCTGCCACACTCTTCAGATAAATCACCGCAGGAGTTTCAATCTTGTTTGGGAGAGATCTCGTACGCACACTGCTGAGTTGGGGCCTCGTCTCTAACGATTATCTGGAGTGACGGGGCTTTCAGGAACTTTCCAGACGGGCTCTCACAAAGCTCCCGTTTCTGTCGAAGCTTCTGTTCCAGCCTATGATTTAATAAACATTAATATTCTACTTCTGATTGCCCCCAGTAATCAAATCAACCTCAAAGCCGGATTCAATTGTGTAAGCAAAAGGCAGACTGAGGTACTTAAGCAGTGTCAGGATTGCAGCCATTGTCCTTGTCTTGTCTAAAGTAATTATATTCCTCTCTTATTTGTCTCTCCTTGCTCACTCTCCTCTTTCTTAATTTCTTTCTTTCTCTCCCTTTCTCTTCCAGCCCGTTCCTGCATGTCAAAGTGAGGGAGGTGATGTCGGACTGCGCTCTGCCGATCTCAGTGCTCATGTTCTCCTTCATCGGCTCCTACATTTTCAGTGACATTGACCGTAAGTATCATAACTTACTTTCTAGATGCTAAAGGGACTGCAGTCTAGTTATACTGTTTTATATCGGTATGCAATATACAGATAAATATATAAAATGATATACAGTTCATATATTTTACAGATTTTTTAAACCCCAGCTGTCATAACACGGCAAAAAGTGACTTTGTAACACATTGTAAGATCAAATCATTCACATGGTAATTTGGAAAAACATGTCTCTAATTCAGATTTGATAGATTTCTAAATCTATTGCATTGTAAAAAAGCAAACCTCATATTCTAGTGATGTCACTATGTTACAGAAGTTAACAAAAAAGTCCAATGTAGGTGTTTCAGGCAGGAGGGGAGTGTGTGGGAGATAAACTCCCCCCTGGGAACACAGGGATTTTAGCCTTTGCAGACCATTTACATGCACCAAAACATAAATAACACACTACAGGAAAGAGAACCCCCCAAAAGCAGGCCCCATTAAATATGTTGTATTTAAAAGCTCATCTTTTTGTTCATCATTGAACTAAGAGAGTTGAAAGTGAGTCAAAAGATTGGAAATGCTAAAATCATCACAATTGTCTTTGCAGAAAATATACAGAACTTCTCAGAACTACTACAGTCAATATCTGTTCCCCCCCCTCGACGCCACATGCACAGGCACATATTTCTCCTCACAGCTCTTAATGAATAATGAAGTGATTAGCAGTTGTGTTACTGAGCTTTTAACTAGGGCAAACATGTCTTAGGGAAAGAATAGTTGATTTATAACATCTGCATGTGCATTAACATTTCTTTGAACTTACTTAATGTGAGTTCATTGTAACACATAGGCCCAAAAGAAAAATCTGTATCCTCGATCAAAGCACAGCATTTGTTTGATTCACAACATTGGGTTAAATATGAAAAATGAGGGAAAGTAATTGTAAGGAAGCTGTTAGTGGTTGCTAGTCAGCTATATCTTTTTTGCTCGGGGTGTGTATTCACTTTAGGGCTTCGGACTCTGGTCGAAATCTGGTGAAGGGCCCAAACTTGTTGTGTGTTTACTTCCAAAACAGACTGTCTAACTGCAGGGCCTCCTCTATTGGTGCCTTTATTGTCTTTTTATGTTCTTTAATCAAGGCACAGGCCAAACCACATGGGAGATAGTCAGTTGTTATCCTCTATTGTTTAGCATCATTTTGAGTCTCCATTCATTGTTGCCAAGGCAGCGGCTGTTCTCCAGAGGTCGGACGCAGAAACATAGAGACAAGCGCCAAACCCTCAAGTGAATTTAAATTTAAGTGCCGGGCCAATTTTCTGTTCCTTTACCTCCAGAGACAATAAGTCATAAGATAATAACCCCATTATTGCATTGTCATTTCCTCCTAAATGTAACCAGCTGCACTTAATTCAGCAGCATTTGAGGTGATACAGCCCTAAATGAGATCTACAGCAGAGGAAAAAAGAGAGAGCCAAACACAGGAAATGATTTTTGGTGTGAAACGGGAGTCATAACAGCAGTAACAGAGACAGTTATGTTAGTGAAGATGGAATCTGATGAGCTGGGAAGTACTGATGGAGAATTTAAAGCACAATAATATTTACAAAATGACATTCCTGTCTCCATTTAAAGTCCACTAAAGAAACTGATGCTTATAATTTAGCTATCATAGAGATGTAATCAAGTAGGTCATGCCCTAAGCTACAGTTATCTAACAAAGAAAGAACTCATTAAAACTCAAAGGTGTAATTAGGGCTGCAGCCAAGGATTATTTCCCACTATTATCAGCAACATTTATCTAATTATTAATGAAAGAAAACAGCAAATCCTCATATTTAAGAAGCTGGAATTTCCCAATGTTTGAGGTTTTTGAATAAAAAATGACTACAATTATAAAATGTTATCAAAATAGTTGACATTTATCAAGTGGTAGAAAGTACTGTACTTGTAATAGAATATTGTAGGACCATAGTATTTATTTTATTCAAGTAAAATACCTAATTAATCCTTACATATCTGCATTTATCTTCTGTTGATTGAGTATCTGATTAATCGTCTAATATTTTTTTGGCTCAAGTTGCAATGTTCTTCTCTTGCTCTGTGAACAGTTCCAGTTTTTAAAGTTTATGACCGGCCCGTCTTCAGGGTGGCTCCATTTGAGCGTCTGTCGGCCCTCAACGTGGTCAGCGCCATGGGCCTGGGATTCCTCCTGGCCGTCCTCATCTTCATCGACCAGAACATCGTCGTCTCGCTAACCAATGCGCCAGAGAACAGGTAGAGACAAACATGCCTTCATATACAGAATCATTTTGACCAAGAATGCATCATATTTTAATCCTATGATGACTTTTTGTTGTGACTTTATTTACAAGTAGATAACTGTCGATTCTGTCCAAAATGATAAAAATAGTGAGGGTGAATCCTGGGATTATAATCTCATGCAATTACTGGTTTAAACTCTTTCTATGACCCTTTGAAAAGCCACCAAAGACCTTGGGGATGTGCAGAAACCGGATATTTGCCAGTCTGTTTGGGAGGGGAGATTAACTGAAGCAGAAACTTGACATCTGAGTCAAATGTTCACAGTCAGGGAGCTCTGAAGAAGCCTCAGAGCCAAAACACTACGCTGAGCTTTTCACCCTGTTCTTCTGAAATGTGCATTGGACAGACCACTTCAGAGCAGCCCTACAGTGGAAATCTATAATGATGACATTTCCACCCTTAGCATCGACATTTGTTAGGCAGAAATTAATTGGATCTGGAAGTTTGGGGAAGATTTCACTGGAAGGCAGGACGACGGTTGCTATAGCATGAAAAACAAAGTGATTTCCAAGCATGCCGATCTTTTTAACGCCGTCACAATATGTAAAAAAAATAGAAGTTGATGTAACACCTATCAAAAAGGTTTGTAAGCACAGTTGCTGTATTTAAACTTCACTGCTTCTTTCATGTGTACCTAACAATAGAACAGAAGCGGAACACAGCGATGGCTATTTCTGTTCCTGCTCTGTTTTGACTAATGCATCCTTTGATTTGCACGACATCATTTTTTTGTATCTGGAAATACGATGTTTATCGAACCACACCTGCACCAGATCACTTCTTTGTTTTCTGTCATCATTTATTCATTTAAAATATTGGTCATTATTATGCAGATCATCATACATTCAGTAATGTTTCCATTGAAGGAAAATAGGTCAGAATGAAGCTTGGTTAGTCTTATCCTAAGTTATTTAGGGATTTAGAGACTATAGAGTAAGAAAACAACCCTCTTTTCCTCTATTGTGCAGACAAATGTTCTGTGGCATCAGATCACAAGATCAACCCTTTATGTACAGTTACTTCAATGTCACATATATATGTTTTATATATTGGATTTATGGAAACACGAGAGACGTGTCCATTGATTTCCTATTTGTTGAATGAGTTAGTGAGAGATATGAGCAATTGTAGTCCGGTTGTATTGAAGGGCAACGCTAATTTTAGGTTATTGATGCCCTTTGAATTTGTGTAACTGAGTGTCACATGTGCTCATGTTTATGATACTTACAGGTATTGTTCAGCAGTATAGCCTCCACATATTAACACCACTATGTTGAAGTGAAAAATGCAATAGCCAGAAGTAAAAGGCTAATATTAGTCTAGTTGATTTATAATATAAGCGAACTACTTTTCTTTTTAATGACTGATTTTAAATGCCATTTTCTTAATGTCTTTCGTTTTTTGTAAAGCACTTTGAATTGCCTTGTGTTGAAAGGTGCTATATAAATGAACTTGCCTTGCCTTGCCTTACATCAAGGTTACATGACTGCGTGTCACCACCACTAATCTAAAGGCTGCTAATGTTCGGGCTGATGACGTTTAGTATAGCCTCATTTAATCACTTGTTTGCGATGGCCATTTTTGGACATTCACGAGTGTATTCACGGACATATTTTATGTTATTGGACAAAATGTTAAGATATCTTAATTTTGTGTAAACTACAGACGTTTTTCAGGCATCTAACCAACAACACATTTAAAAAAGAAAATTGACTTTAAGACGAGGGGACTAGACGTGGTAAAATACTATCAAATGTACAGGTTTTAGGACTCAGGTGGTTGCAGGGCTAATTGTGATAAGATGGAACTTATAAGGCCACGAAAGACATTCAAAATAGGCGGGAAAACAGACAAAGACAGGAAGCAAAAACAGATATGACGCACTTTGGGAAAACTTCTAAATAAAACCACAACCAGTAAAGTAGAAACTAGGATAATGTTAGTTTTCTCATGTGGGTGAGTTGTGGTGGTTTAGCCTGTTGTTGTTGTTGTTGTTGTTGAGTGTAACAGTTGCATTGCTCCGCAGGTTGCTGAAGGGCACGGCGTATCACTGGGACCTGATGCTCTCTGGGCTCATTAACATCCTGATGTCAGTGCTGGGGTTGCCCTGGATGCACGCCGCCTTCCCCCACTCCACCCTCCATGTGCGCCAGCTGGCGTTCGTGGAGCAGCGTGTGGAGGGAGGGCACCTCTACGAGACGTGAGTTACCCGCCTCCTCATCGCCGGTGCTAATCAGATGCTCAATTAAAGGTCGTCCTCAGAGCACGCGGTGACCGGTGATTTTGTGTCGCAGGCTACTGTATCCTGATTGCATGATTACTATGTAACTAACCATTTTGTCTCCGGGTTGAAAAGGTGTGGGTGCTTTCAAGAGATGAGAGGATTAAGATTAACATTACGGCCAAAGTTAGCATATATTAAGGATTCTTCAAGTAATCAAGTGTGATAATAATTCACAAGGCACAATCTTCTAATCTAATAAGAAATGTTGATTGAAAGAAGATATGCAATCAAGGGTTTTGAATGTATGCATATGTCCAGAACTTATTATTCCAAATGTACATATATGATTGTCTATGAAAAGTGGTAATGTAAAGAAAAGTTCCCAACCTTTTTTTAAATGTCAACTTTTGAAAAGGAATTGAGCATACTTATACTTTGCATTTCAAGGACAACTACAAATTAAATAAAGACGAAGGCGTGAAAATACCCACTTAAGAGGAGTAAAAACAACGTAAATAGAAATAAATTAACGTTAGTCATATGCAAGTCTAATCAGATGGATATTTAGCTGATTTACATGGTCTAAAGATCTTTTCAGATCAGTTTTGGAGCCTAAACCTCAAAAGTGTCCTTTAGGATGAAGCCTGGGGTTGACACATGCTAGCCCGTTTGTTGCAAACTGTATGTTCATGAGTTGTTCAACTAAAGACACAGTTTCCCTTCTAAGATTGTTTTATCCCAATCGTTTGTCAGACGCCTGAACAGATACTGATGGTTAAAATAAGAAAATGATAGTCAGAAAAATATTGTTTTTCCTGGAACCGCACAGATATATCTTGTCACTTCTTTGTGGGTCTTATCCCTACATTTTAAGAACCAACACTTACTTGACTTGGTTAAGACAAGGAGTTCATATAAACTCAATCCCAGAGCCCAGTGAACATGATCATTGTCAAAAGATGCTGAAAACAGACACATGGACCACAAACAACATAATGAACCATTGGGCCATAATTGCTCATAACTCCAAGGACGAATTTCATTGTGTGAATGTCAGTGACTGTCAGGGACTGTCAGGGACCAAGCAGTAAGACAACAGGACACAGGAGTGGGTTAAATAAACTAGGGTTTTTATTTACCCAAAAATCCACAAAACATCATATAATAGCAAGGCCTATAAAAGAGGTCAATAGAAAATACCTCAAAGAAACATAACAGGTGTTAACTCAACAAAACTGACCTGCTACAATGAAAAACCAAGGAACCTATATAGGGGCTTGGCCAAACCAAGTTGAACCCAAGGGATAAGTAATAGTCACATCATACACAAAGGACACTGACAAAACCCAAATCCCCCCTTTGACATGGAAGCAGGTGGTTTGTCCCAATCTATCCCAATTGGCTCCTTGCAGTATTTATAGTAGTCCTCAGCCACACCCTTTGCTGAACCAGGAAGTAACCTCCCCCAATGGACATGGTAACATTTAGAGCAAATGTGTGGTGTTAATTGGCATGTTTTATTGTAGCTGCACTGGAGCAAAACTACTGAAGATGAGGATGCAGTGTAGTTGGTTTACCCTGTGTGGCTGTGGCCATCACAGTGACAATGTCAGTTTGTGTAAGAACAAGGCTTGTCGGTGAAAAGACCTTAGAAATCATGATATTAAACATATTTCTGTAAATGAGTCCAAGGCTAATATTTCCCTCAAACTCCAAGAAATTTCAAACGGAAAATTGTGATTTTTCAAAAGGAAAATGTGCAGGAACACTGATAAGAAAACCTTGGGAAAAAACGTTGTCTGTTGCATTGTATTAAATAATCATGTGCACTCCAGTAAGCGTTCATCTGTGTGTGTTATTGTGTGTCCTCAGTATTGTCCAGGTGAAGGAGACGCGGCTGACGTCTCTGGCTGCCAACATCTTCATCGGCGTGTCGGTGCTGCTGCTGCCCCTCCCGCTGCAGTGGATTCCCAAACCCGTCCTGTACGGCCTGTTCCTCTACATCGCCCTCACCTCCATCGACGGAAACCAGATGTGCGACCGCATGGCTCTCCTCCTCAAGGAGCAGGTGAGGAAGTGGGTGTGTGTGTGTGTGTGTGTGTGTGTGTTGTGTGTGTGGTGTGTGTGTGTGTGTGTGTGTGTGGTGTGTGTGTGTGTGTGTGTGTGGTGTGTGTGTGTGTGTGTGTGTGTGTGTGTGTGTGTGTGTGTGTGGTGTGTGTGTGTGTGTGTGTGTGTGTGTGTGTGTGTGTGTGTGTGTGTGTGTGTGTGTGTGTGTGTGTGTGTGTGTGTGTGTGTGTGTGTGTGTGTGTGTGTGTGTGTGTGTGTGTGTGTGTGTGTGTGTGTGTGTGTGTGTGTGTGTGTGTGTGTGTGTGTGTGTGTGTGTGTGTGTGTGTGTGTGTGTGTGTGTGTGTGTGTGTGTGTGTGTGTGTGTGTGTGTGTGTGTGTGTGTGTGTGTGTGTGTCGCCGGCCTCTGCACATCAAACGGTAGACCGAATTTGGAGGACCGGATCTGAGCCAAAGAATATTTGCAAATATAATTGTTGTTGCTTGTTTTTAATCTACTCTGAATCCCAGGTGGGTTTAGTGAATTTAAACAGATCAGCTCATAAATAAACATTCATAATTTAAGGTTGTTATTTTCTGACCCTTTCTTCTTCTATTGTTATATATGAAAAACAATATTTGCAATATACTGTACTGTACTTTACCAAAAAGTAAATCTACAATAATATTTGTCTTGTGTCTATTTTCCTCTGTGTCCAATTTAACCTTCCTACTGAAAAAAAAAGTCCTAACAATACACCTCACACACCGGCGCCTCCAAATGGCAGTGAGAGGTATTTGTTCAAAATGTATTTTGGTTATTGTTAGGATTATGTTTTAAACAGGACCCAGGCAATGACTGAAGATGTTTAAATGGTTTATTGTTAGGAGACTCAGGCAGGTTTGGTGACTATGGAGGTCCGGAGTGGAGGTAAGCAGTTCAGGCTGGACTGAGAACAAGGCAGGCAGGTATGGTGAAGGAACAAGCAGTCAGCTTGGCTGGAAGCTCTGGTGGACGATGGCCGAAGGATTGCACTGGAAACACAAGGAGAAACTAATTACAAAAAGTACGGAATAACACGCAGACATGATAACTGAATGGAGCAGCCAGGAGGATGTAATACCACTGGTGTAGAAAACAATCTGGCGGTGAGTTGCTGGGAGACTGGAGTAGATAAGCTGTGTCCTGATTGGCTTGATGAGGGACAGCTGAGTCGGACGGCCAGGTGAGAGCAATCAGACTGCTGCCTGCAAGGGAAACCACACCCCCTCCACACACACACAGGGGAACTAACAGGGACACAGTTTGGGCCGTGACAGTTATTGGTACTCAGTGTTTCCCACAGATCTGAAATATACTTGGGCGGGTGGGGGGAGGGGTGTGCGGAGAAAAAAAAACATGTTTATTTATTGACTTTTCATTCCTGTATAATCATTTTGCGCAAAGATGGCACTGTTTGTCAGAGCACTTCATCCTTCTGGGATTTCATGAAGAACAGCTCCAACGCCTGTGTGTATGGGAACGCCTCTGGTGCTGGCCCATTACTTCACCTGGATGTTTGAGCTCCACCGTGCAGAATAATGTATACACATAGATTTATTAAACAGCAAACTATTCTACATTAAGTAAAATAACAAAACACTCTTTACATACTATAATGTCAATAATACAGGTTAACAGCCTGTGACTCATAACATTTATTTAGTTTGAGACAGATTTAAAGACCTCCACTGTTGAGTCTTCAGTCTTGGTTTTATACATTTAAGATTCTTTCTCCAGCTCCCTATCTGGACATACTTACACAAAATTATCATGACTACATTTAAAAATAACATTTGATCAAAGACATTTATTTTAAAATGTTCTACAGAAATCTCAAAAATATCGTAATTGTGAATTATTATGGCCACGATAATCATATATGGAAAATCGTGATAGCCCTATAACAAATAAGTCATGTTTCCAAAATGATAGCCAACATTGTGAAATAGTTGGACTGTCAGATGTGTGATGAATTTTGATTCATCAACTCCTGTTGTTGCAATGGTTCAGACCTGACACTGGATCAGTTGGAAGAGATGAGTTTGTTTCTGATACACCCAGACTGAAAACAGAGACAGTGTTTTTGCACCCCGCCTCACACACTCACACAGGAGACCCCTCACGCTATAAATACACTTCATCAGATAAAACCCACTGAAGCTGAGTGTTATTTATGATCTAACCCCGCTGTGCACTTCTTGTAGGTGTGTGGGCCGTCCTCTTCCCTGAGTCGTTTCTTTAAGACAGCAGGAGACATGAGAACAGTTTGAATATGAATCTCTCCCGATCCTCTCCTCCTACAGACCTCCTACCCTCCGACCCACTACATCCGCAAAGTGCCCCAGAGGAAGATCCACTACTTCACCTTCCTGCAGATGATGCAGCTGCTGGTGCTTTGCACGTTCGGCATGTACCCCATCCCGTACATGAAGATGATCTTCCCTCTGCTCATGATCATGTTGATTCCAATCAGGTACGACCTCGGCCATTTTGGCCCAGAAAATCGTTTTTTCTGATCAAAAATATTTGTATTGTGTTTCGACAATGCATAAACAGTGTTTGTCATTTAGCAACATATATGCATACAAATGAGACGGTGGTCTGTACTGATGGTATGTACAAAGAGAAAAAATAACACAAACAAACAACGACTAAAGTAATCCCCAACATTCACTGCCAGTGAGCCTCAGGATTATTTATCAGGAACATTGTTAGAAAATAGTTTTTTACTTACTACTTTAAGTACTTTAAACAATGATGGAAGGATTCAGCAGCACATTTTTAACAAGTGCTGTCTGACCTCAGTCTGGATGATTTCATCCTCAGAAAAATGTGGATGTACCTATCTTTGACTAAACCAGTGGTTCCCAACCTGGGGGGCGCCAGGCCTCAACAGGAGTAATTTGGGGGGGCTCTTGGGAAAAAAGGTTGGGAACCCCTGGACTAAACCAATCCTTCTCACTAGCACCTTTTGAGACGATAAAGGTGACGATACAAATTTAGATTTATTTTCAATTAAAAGGTACATTTATTTTTAGTCACATTTTCTTTTTATATAACTTAAGTTTAATGTCAAAAGTCATACTTTTTTAAAGAAGCTGAAGCCTCAGACCATTTCACATATTTTTCATGAATTATTTTGTACAATTCTCATTAAATGTATATATGCTGTACGTGTTGTCTCAGCTGGAAACATACACACCATACATCCAACAGCATCACATATGCTATTTGTGAACTCACAGAATAATTCACCACACTCTCCTTCTTCCTTACTCCTAGCGGAATGCCTTCAATAAAAAAGGATGCTCTGGTCTTGAAAAACTTGTCAAATGTAAAGCAAAGTAGCATCTGTATTTTCCTATATTTGAGACAATATGGTGTGATTTTCTGCATGTTAGTTATGCAGATAATAATCATCATTAACACACGTTTCCACACATTTTATTCTATTTGAAAGCCCATATTTAGCAGTATGCACGCCTGATTAAATGAGTATCATTGTTCTTCTAGTGGACACATCACATCTATTGCAAATTATGAATGGCTTATTGGTTGCAATTAAAGTGCTATAAAGTTGTTCAGTGAAGAGCCATTATGTCAACAGAAGTACAAATAAATAACGAGAACATCCAACCAGAGGGACTTCTGTTCTCCAAAATACTCTTGAACTATTATTGAGTTTAACTGTTTGGTAATTAAAATCGTACTTATTTTATGTTGTGCACTTAAAACACACACCTGATATATTGTAACTTATGCTTACAGTTGCCTTACATTTAGCAGACAATGAGCAATATCAGCATTCATTTAGAAATTGTGTTTGTGGTGAATATAAGTCAAAATATTCACCTTCCTGTATCGGTCCAACCAACTCCTGAGGGGAATATTTCTTCTTTAGCTGCTTATATTTAGACTTTAGAGTGTGGTGATAATTCTTTCACAACAAAACCATTTGCATACACTTGGTCATTTTATCTTTGTTAAATTAGTGACTTGAGCAACTTTAATTCAGAGATCACAGTTTGGCCTTTTCTGATGCCACAATAACTACAATCATAATTGTACTGCATTAAAAAGAAGACTTTTAAAGAGGCCCCATTTAGTTTTTTGGGTTTTCACTTTCCTGTACTGTGTTATAAAGGTTTTGTGCATGTAAATAGTCTGCAAGAGATAATATCCCTCCAGAGAGAGTTTTTCTCCCACACACCCCCACTCCCTGCCTTAAACACCTACATTTAACTCCTTTGTTTACTTCTGTAATATAGTGACATCACTATGTAACACTTGCGCTTCTATTGGCTAGCGCTCCAACACATTGAACGTGATAGGCTAAGGGGTGGGACATCTCCAAGCGGTTGACCAATCACAACAAAGCCGGCCAGCTAACCAATCAGAGCAGACTGGGCTCTGGTTTCAGACAGAGGGTGAAAAGAGGTGCTGCAGCACAGGCAGTACGAGAAGAATAAAGACCTTTTGAACATTAAAGCATGGAGACATGTCACAGTAGAGATACTAATATGAACCTGAAAGTTAGCATAATAGGGCCCCTTTAAAGTACTTTTTGAGTGTGAAGACTCATTTGTTTCCAGACCTATAGTGCCTTTCTGCACACAACAAAAGTACACACCAGCCACCACTGTAACGCTGATCCTATCTCTTGTTCTCTGCTACTACTGAGAGCAAAGTGATAAATCTTGTGAGATAAGATCTGACATTCTGATGGTTGGGGCTTTTGTTTCCTCATGTTTTCTCTCCCTGCGCTGCTCTAACAAGAAACGACTGACATTGATTCTGTCTGCTCTGTGTTTAGGAACAACGTGCTTCCTCATATCATTGAGGCCAAATACTTGGACATAATGGATGCCCAACACATGTAGAGACAGCTGGAGACAAGTTCTGGATCCACAAGAAAACCGTCTGGAATTTGAAGGGAAAAAAAATAATACAAATACGGATTTAAAAATATTTTTCAATGCAAAACTGTTTGGAAGCAAAAAGGAGAGATACCAACTATTTTGATTTTTGTATCTGATAAGAACATTCTTGCAGGTGAAGCACTTGAAAATTGGAAGTGATGTGAGAAAGAGAGATGAGGAGCTGTGGGACAGCCTCTCTTTGGGAAAGTTCTGCCAAAAAAAAAGGAAAGTCCAGAACCCTGTTTCCCCTCTGTTTGACCCTGTCAGCCTGTCAGTGACATATACCTCCATGTTCCTCCACATTGTACCAAACCCTTACTGGAGTGTAGTCATCTGTGTGTTAAGCTATGGGTTAGTGCTTCAAGTACTCACTAATACTGTGTAATTATTAAACAATTCTGCCATTATAGAGAGGCGTATTTGCACAATGTAAGCATGAACACTCGCATTGTGTTTTTACACCGTCATTCTACATGCTTACACTGTGTTGCTAAGTACTTAAACACTTTTCCGTGGGTGAATTAACGCTGCATTCAAACCACTGCAAAGTAAATGTGTACCCTTTGTAATTCTGTCATTGTGCAGTGTGAAAACCGTTACATTCCTGCACCTTTTAGCTGTGATTCCCCCTTTTTTACTATGAAGGACACTTGTGCTTATAGTTTCTAAGACATTCCAAGAAAATGCAGCATTCATCAAGGAGGTAAAAGGAACGTGTGTGTCTCATAGCCACACTACTAAGCTACTTTATCCGTCTAGCTTCTTGCCAGGTCTTTCAGAAACCTCATTTCTAAAGCTGCATTCACATCAGCTCTTTGTCTTGCTGAAAACAACTAGTTGGTTTAGTTTTTATTGTAGCGTCCCCTGCTAGCTTGCACCACCACATACAGCTGTCATCTGATTGGTTTCTTGTCGAACGGTCAGCGCTAAACGAGATAAAAAGCTCGGACACAATTTCGAGCGATATCCGGCGACAAGTTAGAGCGAAGTTCAGCGACAAATTTGAGTGATGTCCGGCGACAAGTTAGAGCGATGTGAATGCGGCTTTGGGTGGAATTACTCAGCTGAATAAAATAATTCCACAGTTATATATTATATTTTGTAATTATTTAGAGCAACAGCACAAACCAAACTATATTGTGAAATCTTTATCAAATTATGAATATATTAGAATATATTATGGCAATATACAAATATAAATATTTATTTATCATTATGACAGTTTATCTTTTAAGTAAAATAATGAAAATTGTTTGTGTTTAAGCTGAAACGGAAAGTAGTTTGTAATTCTCTGTTTGCTCCTTCACATTCCTGATCCACAGTTACTGATTGTTGAATTTTAGCGTCTTGTCTTACATCAGGCTGTGCCGCTGTGTTTACACATCAAAGTCATTCCAGTTCATGTCGAAGTCCAACACCGTTCTGGTGCATCGGTAGTAAAGATGAAAGGCAGGTAAAGGTAAAAAAATAAATAAAAAGATTACAAAAAACCTTTAAAAAAACTATTTGTGAGCTTTGGATTAAACAAAGTGCATCCTATTTTTGTTTTATTTTGTGAACAAGTGTTCAAAGATGAGTTTTAGAATAATCTGGTCTTGTTTTCTATTTAGATGTTATGATTAGATCAATGCTTGCAAACGTTGTCATGTAAAAAATCCAGACGTCTGGAAAGATTATCTTGTTACAGTACAAAAAATAAAACACAAAAAAAAGACAATTTATTTTAGCAGACACTGTTTAGCCTAAAGCATGTCTAATCTGGGTTTTTGATACGATGTAATGCTAATAGACATGTATCCAAAAGACTAACAAATCAAACAGCTCAATATTCAGCAATACTGTGTATACAAACTGGTGAGATTCAGGTTTCACAGCGGAAGTGGTGAAACAAAAGCCAACAGTTGCATTTTTAAGACTTTTAGTTCATCTATAATAAAACTGCTCTGTGCTGATTCAATTATTTCAAACATCAAGGAGAAAAACAAAAGTTTGCCCGTGAACAAAGCATTCACAGCGCTGGGTTTTATTACTGTTTACTTGCTTTCCCAAAGTCCAAATGGCAGCTCCCTATTGCACTGTTCAACTTTGTCTTACAGATGTGAGAAAGATGTCCAATTTAAGCAGATGTCTCATGCCGAGATAGCAAGGCATGAAAGGAAAGCTCGGAAGCATTTGCATAATCCTTTGGATTAAGGTTTAAAACAGCTCTGGCGAGAGAGATGTGAGGTATGAAGTAATATGTACAGTTTGCAATGCAAAGTTTAGTTTTTATCAAGTATCCATTATAATCCACGGCAAGGTATTAGTTTCTAACTTTGGACAGAGTACAGAGATTTAACCATTCTTCTTCTTACGTGACAGTATTGTTGTTGTTCCTTGATATCTTCTCCGTGCTGATGCTTTTGGAATAGCAGCAAACTTCTCTCAGAGGGCCTGACTTCAGATTCAGAGTGATATTCAGATTCAGACGTTTGTGAAACCTTGACTCCCCTCCTCCTGATTGGATTTGTTTGAAATTGCGTACTGTGGTGTTTTTGCTTTTCTTTTCCTGATTTCATATAGCCTACTTTTTCTAATCATGAATGTAAGATGTTTGGGTTTTTATATAGCATAATCATTTAGGTGTCGAACAGAAACTGTAATTTTGTCAAAAAGATCAGCTATATTTGTAAGCTGTAATATGTAAAATGGGAAAAAATGGTTATAAAACAGAATGTGTTGGTTTATTATAGTATATATATACAGTACACTGAAAAGAGAAACTATCTCAAGCTGTTTGCCAAATAAAAAGTAGTAGTGATGTAAATGTTGCTGTTTCCTTGTGTTTCTCCTTGACCAGCATGGCATCAGATAAGTACTAATGAGTGAATTTACAATATAAACATGCAGAAAGATCTATGCAAGTAAGAGTATCAGTTATAGTGCACAATACTCTGTTACAAGTTAAAGTCCTGCGATCAAACCATGACTTAAGTCACATTATAAAAGTATTGACATCAAAATAAATGTGGAGTACCGAAACTAAGTATACTCATCATGCAGATCAGCCACTTTCAGAATAATATATAATATTACATTATTGGACTGGATTTGAATCTATAATTTGATAGGTGGAAACAATGTTAATGTTTGGGCTGTGATTGCATATACAGCTGTGTATCTTAATTCAAATAATAGAAAACCATACATTATTTGTTGATAACACTGTATTAATGATTTGATTATGTAAATTAATTAGTAACTCAAGTTATCAAATAAATCGAGTGCAGTAAGAGGTAAAATATTTGTCTTGATGTATTGGAAGTATACCGTAACAATACATTCAAGCTAGAAGTATAGTACTAAGGTAAATGTACTTAGTTACTTTACACCACTGTCAATATGTTGTGGGGATACTCAACACGACCATTGCTTCATGCAAAAAATACTGGCATTCCTGTTTGTAGTCTTTGATCACCATCAGTTCCTGATATAAATCAACATTTTATACACATTTTATTTAATTTCATTAAGGCAAAGGCTTTGTACAGATCCCTTTTAAAGGATAAACTTAAAGTTTTGCCTTTTACTTTAATGAAGAAAGGGGTTTTCTGCATATCCCATTAAAAAAACATGACTCATGGGTGAGGTCTATAATTATAGTAGCTGCACCAGTTCTCTCTGATGTATCCCAAAGATCAAAATTACAACTTCACCCTTTGTTGTGCACAAGAAAAATCTAAGACTAATTGGCAGATTTACTGTGATGAAATTTATAGCATACATTTCCAGCTCTTAAGGGAAGAAGAAAACTTCAAAAAATTATTTTGGACACTTTAATCTTGCACCACCCTCAGGCCAAATTGTCAACTTTGTACTAAAGAAATCTCATAATCTGATATGAAAGTTGTAAAAACTGCTCAGCTCAGTCATGCTCCCAAAGGGATACACCATTAAAAATAATAGTGACTTCATGGCTGTTCCTCTGGCGCCACCATCAGGACAACTGTAGATGTTCAGCTCCACACTCAGGTAAGATCTCCGTCAGTATGATCAGAATTATATAATGTTCACTTATTTCATCAACTTTGTGGAAATGTTGGCCACCACGTATATGAACAATTTAAAGCCATTGTTTATATTACACTATTACCATTCAAGACGATTCAAACTTGAATATATTTAAATAAAGTAAAACAAGGAAAGAAAAAATATCATACAAATTCAATTTAACATTTGTCAAATACACAAATGCTTTCTTTTTGGTCTTTTTTGTGTCCTCAACTTATTTTCTTGTCAATCTCTTATGTATTTCAAATGTTCCAATAAATAAAAGGCACTGCCCCAAAAAACAATATCCATCCCATATCACTTGTAAAAAACCCACAGTTCTCTAGTGTTATCCTGAAGTTATATTGTTTTGCCCAGTTTTCTATCTAAGAGCCGTGCTGCACATGCGCAGATAACCGCAGATCTACGAGGCATATGATAAGAGTTAAGACAGGTGACCAGCTGTCAGAAACAGGGCTTAAAGCAAAATCAACAGTCTGCCCTTCACGTCTTGGTGCACTGCAGAGGAGTAACCTGTCAACATGTGGGCACGTCTGTGGGCCTGAGAGTGTGTTTGTGTGTGCGTGTGTGTGTTGTGGGCCGGGTCATGAGACTACAGGGGTGTGTGTTCTCCTCGTTCAGTAAAATCGCAGCTGGATTTCTCTCTTCAGCATCCAGCAGGAGGAAACACGTGTGTCTGCTCTCTCAGTCCGCTCACATCATGGCAGAGGAGGCGAAGAAACTGGCCGCTTATGCTGCTGTGGATAACCACGTTCAGGTACATTTAACTGTCTAAAATATATTTTAATATCACCAAATGTGTCCACAGACTGCTAGCTTGTTGTTTCCACCACCTGAGCCATGTGTAGTTCTCATATGCTGCATGCTAGCAAAGTTAGCTACTATACAACCAGGTAATGTAGCCTAGCTTGCTAACTTACTCCCATATGCATGATTGTTCCGGGATAGTGGGCTAACTTTGTTCGGCGGAACAAAGGACTAAATAGATCAACCGTATGTTACAGCATGTGTTAGCTAATAGCAGGACGGGCAGTGTAGTTTTAACTAATGGACAGACAGAAATATATGAGCTGACATTAGAAACAGAAGCTAGTTTGATGTAATTTACATTATACATGCCGTTTAAACTGCTATTAAACATGGCCCAATGGAAATGTAATGGAGCAGGAAATAGACCATGCATTACTGGTAATGAAATGCTGGTAGAAAGAGTGGGAATAGGTTGTGAAATAAAAAAATATCCACTACAGATCCCCATCTAATAAACGAATACTATACTACTATACTATACTACTATACTATCTTGTAGGTCATGTGACACTGTATTCCTTGAAACCATAAGAAAAGTATTGTCTTTTAACCTAATTGTATTTGTTGAGGCAGTTGTTTCAGACTTTACCATGAATGTGTTCATGGTGTTTTGTTCTTGTATGACCCTCAAAGCATAATTTCCCCTCATATTAAAACTCCACGGTTCCTCTTATTGTGTCCATTGCTACTGCTCCATTTCAACACATTGACTAGCATGTTTATCTCACGGCCTGCTGTGAAATGTTGCATCATTTTGAGTATTTTCTGTCTCCAATAGAACAACCAAGTGGTTGGAGTGGGCAGTGGATCAACCATCGTCTATGCTGTGGACAGACTAGGTGAGTAAAACCATCATGAAGTCATACTGGAGGCAGCTGATGTCTCAAAATAACACCCAAGTTATTTAGACAATAACTTGACCACTGTTATATTAAAGTTTATAATGTATCAATATAACACCTTCATTATTCTTTTTAACTGTGTGTGGTTTCTTCCAGCTGAGAGAGTGCGTCAGGAGAAGCTGAACATCGTGTGTGTGCCCACCTCCTTCCAGGTTGGTGTGTGATATGTAGTCTCTTACTAAGACTAGAACAACATGACATCTAATTATTTTCATCCTGGTGGCTTAATGGTGCATGCACAGTATTTGTCAACATCATGTACTGTAACATTGTGGCTTTGTTGCCACACACACACACACACACACACACCTACACACTTTCTTTTTGTCTAAGATGAATACACATGGATTTGCAATAGAAGATTCATACTTACATTTCCAACATTAATAATGACTGTTTTCATGTTCTTTAAAAATACTAAATCTGAATGCAGCTTGTTAATAATAATAATACATTTATTTTATATAGGCGCCTTTCAAGGCTCTCAAGGTCGCCGTACAAACACATAAAACATAAGATACACAATACCTAACACCAGCATAAGAAACATAAACAAGACAATGCAACAAATCAAATAAATAAAACAGAGGATGTGTGATGGATAATGATCAGGGTGGATATGCGAGTGTGAAGAGATATGTTTTGAGGCGTGATTTGAAAATGAGGAGAGAGTCAGTGTTGCGGATGTCAGGTGGGAGGGAGTTCCAGAGGCGGGGTGCAGAGCGCCTGAAGGCTCTAGACCCCATGGTGGTTAAACGGAAGGGGGGTGCTGAGGGAAGCAGAAGATCTGAGTGTGCGGATGGGTGTGTTGATGTGCAGGAGGTCGGAGAGGTACAGAGGAGTGAGGTTATGGATGGCCTTAAAGGCGAGGAGCAGAATCTTAAAAACGATACAGGATTTGACGGGGAGCCAGTGAAGCTGCTGAAGAACAGGAGAGATGTGGTTAATGGAGGAGGTTCTGGTGATGATGCGGGCGGCAGAGTTCTGAACCAGTTGAAGTCTGTGGATGGATTTGAGAGGGAGACCAAAGAGAAGGGAGTTGCAGTAGTCGATGCGGGAAGTGACCAGGGTGTGAACAAGAATGGCGGTGGTCTTAGGGTTAAGGGACGGCCGGAGGCGGTTGATGTTGCGTAGATGGAAATAGGCAGACCGAGTGATATTACTGATGTGAGATTTGAATGAAAGTGTGCCGTCGAGGATGACACCCAGACTCTTAACCTGAGGGGAGGGGGAGACTGAAGAGTTGTCTATAGTAATTGAGAAACTGTCAGGTTTGGTTAGGGTGGGTTTTGTGCCAATGAGGAGAACCTCGGTTTTTACTGTCGTTAAGTTTGAGAAAGTTAGAGGAAAACCAGGATTGTTGTCTCCTTTCTCCTGGTTTTCTCATTTTGTTTCTTCTGTATTTCCCCTCACAGGCTCGTCAGCTGATCCTGCAGCACGGCCTCACACTGTCGGATCTGGACAGGCACCCAGAGGTACGATGAGTTCGATAAATACATCTGAAAGAAATGGAAATGAGGAAAGGGCCACAATAAGTCAATGCTTAAACCCTGTCAGCTTGAATTGGAGCATTTTGAAAAGGATTTCTGTGAAAATGCAAAGAACTACCTGAACGGTGGATCTTTGTTGTCTTCTGTAATACATGACGTTCCTCCCACCCAGCTGGACGTGGCGATAGACGGAGCAGACGAGGTGGACGCAGAGCTGACGCTGATAAAAGGTGGAGGGTGAGTACAGTTTAATATACGCAGCAGAACTTAGCCTCTCCTCTGGTTTCTGTCTCACTCTCGCCCTCTGTCTCTCAGCGGCTGTCTGACTCAGGAGAAGATCGTAGCCGGCTGTGCTAAACATTTCGTCGTCATTGCAGACTACAGGTTTGTATTTGCTAGTTTAACTCAACAAAAGAAGTATATTATAAATATCTGTATAGGCTGTTTTCTCTAAATAGATTTTTTCCTTACACTATTAGGACTTACAACACAATATTTTACAGTTTCCTTCCTATCTATATTCTGCAATATATCTTTTTTTACTTAGAGATTTGTACTTTTATCTTGTATAGCCTGATCTATATAACTTTTTTTTGTCCAAAGAATGTTGAAAATGTAATGTTGTAGAGTATTTTCAATGTATGGAGTAAAGAGATATCCAAGAAATCCATCTTTAAAAACCTTTGAGCTTAACACATCAACACAGTGAAAGAAGACTTTTGAACCTGCTTTTATCCAATGTTCAGATTAAAGTTTCGTTAATATATCATATTAGCACATTATAATTTAATAAGAAAATGCTTAATTTGCATTTTCAAATATCAGAAAACTTATAGTAAAAGAAAATATTGTCGCAATGTAACATCAGTTGGAGAAGTTTCATGGTGATTTCTACCTTTTTCTACCCCCCCCCCCCCCCCAGGAAGGATTCCAAGGCTCTGGGCCAGCAGTGGAAGAAGGGAGTTCCCATCGAGGTGATCCCCATGGCGTACGTCCCCGTCTCCAGGGCGATAGCCAAGCGCTTCGGAGGGGAGGCCAACTTGCGGATGGCTGTCAGTAAAGCGGTGAGTGGACGATTCTGTCCCTTCTCTATCCAACACTTATTGTGCTCTCTTCAGAGACCTCCAGTTTCTGCTTTTCACTCACAGCTTTTCTTCAGGTTGTCCTTTAGTACATTTCTGATATCTTTATCACACTGGTTCTTGCTTGTGGGTATCCAAGGGTCCAGGTTAATATTTATTTGTGGATGGTGACGCTAAAACTAGAAAACATTATTATCCTCTAGCAGGAGATGGAATGGACCTTAGCCTGTCCAATCACTGCAGTGTGTGCTAAACCAGATTATTTGCAGAAAACGCTATCTCAATTCAAAACCTTTATTTATCCAGGTAAAATCCCATTGAGATCATTGATCTCTTTTTCAAAGGAGACCTGCAGCAGTAGGTTCCACATGAAGACATAAAAACATAAACAACAGAACAACAAAAGGACATCATACAGCAAAAATGACAGGGATTACAATTTACATATCTATCCACATGTACAGGTACCAACAGCATCTGATTGTGTGGCATCCAACCGATCGAAATGTTAATACACCCTCCTGCACTCGTGTGTGAGAAGTTACCTGTGGAGTGTGTGACCTCTAGTAGCACTCTGGAGCCTTTTTCTCCCATGTGCACACTAGTGTCGTAACTCGCATGTCTACCTAAGGCCTCACACTATCAGGCTAATCTATAAGTGGTGGTCGGTGCCAAACATATGATGCAAAGGTGGACAATAAAAAGACTGCAAGCTATTACGTGTGGATATAAAGAATGTATGCTTTTAAAAGGCTTAAATAATGGGCTTTGCAAATGTTTTTGTGTTTTGAAACCCTGAATGTAAGATACACTTGTTTGTTCTCCGCCACAGGGCACATCTAAGGAAAGGTTTCTGTGGAAAGTGATGTCCTCAGGAAAGTTTGTGCTGAAAGCAAAATGACAAATGCACCGTATCTGCCTCCTCTTTGACAGGCTGCAGTAGAGTATACAGTTAATGATTTACTTTGTCCTCAGTCCTTAAAATGAGCAACATCCAGCAGGAGACAGAGTCTGTTCCTGTTCATCATGGTTGTGTTATTCCTTCTGACTGCTGAGGCTGGAAGCTGTCTGTGAGCTAATGATTCCCGGCCTCCATGATCACAGACGTGTTATCTAATCAACATTAGCCTCACAGTTACACAATCACCTACAGACAAAAGTCAGGCCACACGGCGATGCTTTTCTAACTGGAAAACCTTTGGAAAGCTTAGGGTGAAGGAATGTGTCAGCTCTGCTTATTAAGGCTCTGGAATGATCTGGACAAAATCAGCTTTAAAAGAAACAAGTGTTCTTGTTGAACTAAGTCACTCTGTATAATCTCGTGAATACTTATTTATGACAACATTTTAGTTGTGTGTGCATTTGATTATTAGTGTTATAAACACATTCCTGTCTTATGAACTTTGCTCACAGCCTTCATGGTGTTACTTTACAATTTAAACAAATAAACCAACATGTCGTGTTTGTGTCTCAGGGTCCTGTGGTCACTGACAACAGTAACTTCATCCTGGACTGGAAGTTTGAGCGCGCTGAGAACTGGAAGGAAGTGAACACGGCGATCAAGATGATCCCAGGTGAGAAGCTGCCTCTTGGTTTATCAAAGGGAAAGTTTAAAATACATATTGTACTCTTTTATCAATCTAGATCAGCAGGTTTCAAAGTGTGATGCGCGCCTCCCCTGGGGGGCGCCAGAGAGCTTCAGGGGAGGCGCAGCGTGAGAAAAAAATAACGAGAAATAGTGAAATCTAGCTAGTTAACTTCAGCTAACTTTATGCGAGCGGCAACATGGATCGATTTGTAGTGAAGTTACCTAAAGTGAGAGAGGAGACAGCGTCTGGCAGAAAACGTGTGTCACTTGCACACTTTTGGAGTCTGTGGAGACCGAGTTCCCCCACCTCGCCAAAAGGGCTGTAAAAGTGCTCATTCCCTTCACCTCCGCCTACCTGTGTGAGTGCGGGTTTTCCGCATTGACTTTGATCAAAAGCAAGTACGGTCAAGGCTGCAGCCAGAGGATGATCTGCGTTTATTCCTGTCTACATTGCATCCCCGCATCATCCGCCTGTGCGCATCAAAGACGCAGACTCATTGTTCCCACTAAAGTAGGGCTGAGTGTAATAAGGAGGCAAAGTTGACGTTCAGTGTGTTGCCGGGAGCCTATAAGGATTTATCCACGATGTTTAAAATGTTTAAAAAATATGTTTAAAACATAAAGATAAAAAGGTTTAAAAAAGTTCAAACACACACGCATGCGGCTTTCACACCAGCGCTTTTCCCTTTCTAGCTCCGAGCTTTTCTGGTTCAGCTCCGGTTTCCCTCTTCTGCTCCCGCTCTGTTCACACCGCCCAGAGCTGCCGCTGCTGCGTCATGACGTCACCGTTTACGTGCCTGCTTCATAAAATCCAAACCGCGCGGAAATCCCTCACATCGACAACAACAACAATGGCCGATTGTATTGAAGCGCTGTTTGCTTTGGTTATCCTCTTACGAAACGAAATGGAAGGCATCGGACGACTTTACAAGGCACGACTTTACTTGGAACTTTACAAACATCACATGCGAAATGCAAGACTTCTTTGTGGTCTTCAGCATCTACTTCAACCCGCCTCGACGTAAGAGAGACGTAAGAGACGCCGCCTCTTTAGCTCCGAAGCTCTTGCCTCTAGACAGACAATTTTTTGGAGCTGGAAGTGAACCGGATTCCGGAGCTAAGAGGCGGCGCCTCTGCGGTGTGAACAGGAAAAACCGGTACTTTTCAGGCTCCAGCTCCGAGCCGGAGCTGAAAATGCGTTGGTGTGAAAGGGGCAACAGAGATGAGAGAGAAGAGACAAGAAGAGAGAAACAGTCGGAGTCATTTCAAATGGCGTGCTCAAAAAAGAGAAAGGTAGACGGAGCATTTAATGACATTTTCTCTTACTGGACCTCTTTGAAATGCAATTGAATACCCCTGTATTATAGCAGCAACAACAACAATAATAATAATAATTGGGAGGGGGGCCATGGCTGTTCTTATGTTCTCTGAGGGGAGGCTCACCTTCCCACACTTTGAAAACCCCTGATCTAAATGAATGTGAGTTGGACTGTGTTGGATATTTTTGGCGGTAACAAACATTTGGTTACTCCAGAAAATACAGTCCATGTTGCAAACAGTTTTCCTGCAAGAATGATTTCCTTTTTACCAAATTAGGACCTCACTAGTATGACTGCGCATCAGGAAGTGTGCAGCTACTCCTTGGCAAGAGACTTGTAACAAAGACGTTAATATGAATGAAGTCCTATTCTACCTAAGCATCCATAAGGAAGACTGGGGAAAGTGTTGTTTGTGTTTTGACTCTGTGTGTGTGTGTCCTCTGCAGGTGTGGTGGAGACAGGGCTTTTCGTCGGCATGGCGGAACGAGCGTACTTTGGGATGGAGGATGGAACTGTGCAGGTGCGAGACCCTTCAGTCAACTGAGGGGTTAGATCTCTTTCACTAGTGTCGACCCTCCGCTAGAACGACCTCACTTTACCCACAAGTGCCGTGGTTATAATTTAGAGCCGCTCTCAGTGTTTGGACTGAGCTGCTCCTCCTGCAGAACTGGACTAAACTTTCACACACACACACACACACACACACACACACACCTCAGAACACTTGGTCTTTCTCATCCAGCAAGTGGTGCTTCTGACACTGAGCTTTAAAGTGCCTGGTGAGTCAAATGAAGTGCTTCTGATTATTGATTATATGTTATTTGTTTGGCCTTCTGTTCTCACTATTGACTCTTCCTGTAATTAACGTGTTTGACTGGATGTCTGCAGAGCTGTGGTGAGTCATTGCACCTCTGCAAAATGAAACTACGGTGTGCCTTGAGATTATATTATAAATCTTATTAAAGTAATTCTGCTCTTAAAGTTACATTTAAGAGCTTCTAATCCTACATCAAACGATGTGCCATCTGCTAGCATGCAGTAGATGCATTGTCATCAGTCAGAAAGCTGATATGCCTTAAAGTCTTTTTGTTTAATTAGATTAAAAAAAAGAGTAATATGAACTCTTACCCACAACATTGAAAAGTCACACTCTTTCATTAAATGAATTTCAGTAATTAATTTGAACCGAAAAAGCTCTAAACATTCATGAGCTCTTTGGTAATGTAGGGACGCCCTGTGGTGCAGCTATGAAGCTTCCATTATTTCATTATCGTGTTAGCGACACAATACAGTGTCACCAAAACACATTACAACGCAGAGGCAGGTGGATGCCGCTTGCTTCTAACAGACATTTCAACACATGGTTTGGCAGATGTAACACAGAACGGGTACTCTCTAAGTAGAAGATGTCAAAGGGCAGGGAACCTCTGCACAGGAAAGGTGAAAAACCACCTACCAAAGGACAACGTGAATTCACCTCTTTATTTTCAAGGCATGCACTTCCTTTTTAACGTCTGGAATATGTTTTTCTTAAAATCATCTTAGGCATCCAGCTGTACTCATCATCCTCTCTAGGAGTTGTACTTATTTGAGACTTCTGGACCACTGCAGGTTAAACGGCTGTAAAATAACAAGCACATTTTCACCTTAAAACGACACCATGATGTGACCTGATATTCCTTCTTAAAGGGATGTTTACCAGAGCTGGTTTCAGATTCTGCCTCTGTTTAAATGTGTTTATTTCACTGGTCAGAGTGGTACGTGCTCATTATCTGGAAGTTATTCTCCTTGGCTGTTGAAACGTGTAATAGCAACTGCTGCCGTGGACTAATGGTCTGATTTCCTGAGTGACGAACGTTTGAGTAATAGTTGTAGTTCGGTCTGACTTCTAACAGCCGTACATTTACACTTCAGTCAGCAGAGGTAAAGTCCGCAGCCTCTCTGTTAAACAAACACACGCTGAATGGCGTGCATGTACAGTACATCCCTTCACTCTGTTTGCTCTTCTCGTGCCTGCATGTCAGTTACGTTACATTTCTTATGCCTTACATCAGCCATCTGCTCACAGGAGGTCTGGTGCCATCAACTTAATGTTAAATATAGCTATAGAGGGACGTGCAACATGTTGAGCTAATGATGATGGGCAGTTAACATTGTTATCATAGAGCTCAAATGTAAACCAACGGCAACAAAATCACATTTGATGTGCCTTGGCACGCCAAAGCAATAGAACAGCCGGTTGTATTACTTAATCGCTACATCTATTGACGTAGCTGATCAAGGTGTTGGACTAACGGCCATCTAGAATCAATGCTTCATTTAGTTGAAAATAAAAAATACTTTGAATTTATTTCAAAAACACTGCTATCCGCTTTCCCTCAAAAGATATTCAGCGGCTTATCATTCCTTTTCTTCAAAATAAAATGGTGAAGTTGTCTTTCCAATGAAAACACTTTACTGTCCAGTACAACCATGCATCATTTGTTTGAAAATTGTGCCAATTTGTCATGTTCATTTCCATATGATGTATTTTGAAATGCAGCTTTTCACTCTGCTTTTGCCTTACACTTTATTTTTGTATGTTTATGTATATACTGCTCTGAGAGATTTAACATGATGTAATCAGGCAAAGCTACGTGTCTTTATAGAACTATGCTATATGGGGCATCAAATGTTACTCTGGTGTAATTCTACTCGTCAGTGAAATGGATGTGAATGAATTTGAGGATACATTAACTGAACAGATAATCTGTGGCCCAGTTTGGCTCCAGGTTGTACACCATGTTGGATATGTTTGCACCAGCATTTCTCTTATTCCTTTACCAATTGACTGTGATAATGATATGGCTGTGAATTTATTTTCTTTGTCAAGCAATACAGAAACATAATAACAGTATGCCTCTTTGTTTTTATTTCTGATGAATCTCTATCATTCTGTTAATACCATGATGTGGTGGAACAACTTGGCAACACAATTGAAAATAATCGTCATTTGGGTGTCAAACCTCCACTTGTTTTAGCTTTGCACACTGATTGCAAACTCAATATATCTGCAACTCAAGAATGACAGGACATCTTTATGGTGCCGTTCTTCCTTATGGTCACTTGGGGGTGCTAGAAATGCAAGAGCTGTGTTTTGCACTCAACTCAGGGTAAACTGGGTTCACATTTTAAGCCTATATCACCCAGAAATAAAACTTGTGTAAAAAAACATCATACATGCATTAAGCAACGATGTGTATGCTTTATGACACTTTGAAAATAACTGAAACTAGCTGTCATACCTATTTATAAAATCACAACTCAGGATATTGCAGGCTTATTGGCTGGAATGCAGCTTTACATGAGGTTACATTTTGAAAATGCACTCCTTAACGCGTTCATAGGCTTTTACAGGCTTTAAGTCTGTTTGTTTATCTGACATTGAAAACAAAACTCGTGATCAGGAACAGGAAACGTGCTTCCTCTACACTGAGCCACGTTGATGCTTTCCATGATGCTCTTTTATGTCGGATGTCTTGACAACTGCTTGTGAATGACAGCTGAAATGTCGAATGTAACGCTTACGTTCCGTCAACGAGGGTAAAGTAGACCAATAGCGCTGTTGCTTATCACTATTGTCTCTCTCATTGGACGAACTACGACACATCCCACCAATCACATTTCCGCCAGAGGATTTGCCATCGGGGATTTTTTTGCGTCACCTTTTGCTCTCGTTGCTAGTGCGCCTGCGTCGTTTTGACAAACACTTGATTAGCCAATGAAATGGACTGTTTGGGGGGCTGGAACATTCTGAGCCCGCCTCCTTGAGTGCCAGTTCTCTGATGCAATCATGTTCTGCTTAGTATGCGAGTATACATGATTGATAGCCAACAGCCCAATGAGAAACGGTGGCATGTTTTTGTACCGAATGTAGCAAGTTCACTGTCCAATCCCAGTGTAGAAACAAGGCGGGACTTAGCGTTACTAAGGCAAGACTTGTGTCAAGTATAAAGGGAATAACATGGTGTCCCAGTGGCTGTTTATGTTTACTAAAGAACAGATTGAGAAGGGTGTCTTGCAAGAAAGAACGGAGTTTTGTTTGTAGTTTTACCGGTTGTTGTTTTTTGCACTTTTTATGTTAAGATTTACAAGGCCAGTGGCATGTAAATCTCATACTTCACTAATGTGCCAGTCTTACAAATGGAAAGGGGGCTTCACTTTGGAAACGTGAGCATTTCCCTGGTGCTCCTGCTATTGCTAAACGCGCTCATCGGATTTGGGACTTCTCAAGCTCCGGGCTCCGCAACCGGCAGGGAGCCACAGTTCTCCACCCGGGGTTCAGCTTCGACCTCGGGGGATGAAGATGGTGCAAGAGCCATGGAGCGGAGAAGCTTGGAGAACGTTGGCCCCCCGGTCATTGTAGCAGACGTTACCGTTGAAGATGATGACAACGGGTCGGCTGGGGAGACCGACGAATCATTCGGAGACAGTAACGGAAACATCCAACCGACAAGGTAATTCAAACTAATACGTCTAACGGACAGCTAGCCACAAGACACCCATTATCGTATAAATGACACGTGTAACGTTATTTCACACCTACACAAATGTTACCAAAATGACAAATAAACACAATTAAGGCATCAAGAAGTGTCTATTTGTCATTAAGATTCCTTAAAACCACGCATTTAGCAGTTGTTGAGCTACCTAACTTACAGTCTCGTGTTTGGTAAGTATTCCTCCGCTGTGGCACTGCACTCATAACTTGTTGTGTTTGTTCTCTCGACTTAAAACCCCATTATAACTCTTTTTATCCCTACTCTTCTCCCAATATCACCTTTAAATTATTGTGGAACAATTGCTATGCGGTGCTACAGAACTGTCAGAGAATACATCTTGAAAAACACAGTAGCCTAATGACTAACGAGTTTCACTTATTTTCCGATTGTTTTGATTGACGTTTGAATGGCGTCTGTTGAAAAGAAGGAAACACCCCATGTAATACGCGAGTAACTAGTACGAGCAACTTTAACTTGTCACTTGTGTTTATTTTTCAAACTATTTATTGTAGGTTGTTAAATTATTGTGGAAGTATATAACAGTACAGTTTACAAAAACACCCTCCTGTTTATCAAATCAGAAAGTGTCTACCAAAGTGTCCACCTTGAAACTGAGACATGTTCTGAACTGTCATATGTTGGATGTTGTTTTGGTTTCTTGGTACGTTATGATCTGTGAATCAGAACTTTTGAAGTCTCAGTCCACAGATTAGATACATTCACAACTGCAGTTCATTCATTTGATGTGAAAAAATACACATATCTAAAATAGGTGTGATGTTATGAGCAGCACCATGTCTGCTTTGCCTCCTGTTGTTTTTGTCACATTTACTTTCACATTCACTCGTCAATTAGCACTGTTGAAGTTAAATAGCTTTCCCTCTATTATCATACAGAAATCACATTACAAGGGAACATTCCTAATCACTTGGCAGCAGAGATACCGTCCTCTCAGGAGCCTGTCCTCCTCCTGTCAGCAGATAGGCTATGTCTTAGCTCAGGAAAGTCAAATAGGAGTCTGTCTATTTAATTAAACGCAGTTAATTGGGAATTAGGAAGAAGCAAGGGATAATGTATGAGGACATTTAAAGCTGACACAAAGTGGCTCTGCACCACAAGCAGAAAGATATCAAACACAATCTAAAGTGTGTGTCTTCCCATGTTGACATGTTGGGTGCTGGGATCTGTTGTTTTTTCCACAAAGTACACACTTCTAAGAGCAGTAGCTTAACTTAAGTTCTCTTGGACATACTGATAGACGTTGTTATAAAGGAAAAGCACAGCTTTGATACTTACTCTACTCCGGTACCACGAATACAAATCAAATCTGACAAGTGGCTGTTTTGCAAAGGAATGTCGCTCAGCTGAGAAACCCCCCCAGCATTCTGTCACTCAAAAGTTTAGAGTTTGCTGAACCCGGTTAGACCTGCTGTCCAAAGTGAAAGGCAGTTGTTGGTGCAGTGGGCAGGGCATTGATGTTATCTTCCTTGGTAAACAGCAGGTTTGACGCCCACCTCAGATGTTTGGCGCAGTGTGATCTTCATGATGTCCGTTCTCTCCGTCTTGTTATTCTTCTTGTGAGGATACTTTTCTGTGGTACAGCCTCTGGAATCATTTTTATTCCAGCGATGTTTCTTTTTGAAGCACATCAGGTCATTCACTCAATTATTCTTTGTGTAGTATTATATATGATGTCTGCTTTTCAAGAGACCACAGTCAGTTCTAAAAATGAAAACATGGATGGGATCAAACCATTTGAAGACTTTTGTCACCGTTTCTTACCTTCCCACCAACGTGCTGTTGCTGTGCTGAAATGCAGCACTCTTTGCTGTCACTTTGTTCATTGTCAATGCTCACTGAAAAGCTTTCTGACAACCCCCAGGGCTCCAGGTATTACTTCTTGTAATTTGGGATGCCACACAAACCCAGCTTTGTCACAACGGGGAGGAACTGAGCACACTGTGCAGTCAGCCCCATGAAGCTCATGTCAGAAGAGATAGGTGTGTTTCTTAGACGGAAATGTGTTTTTTTGGAAACGTGTGTAAAACAGATTTAAAATAAATAAATAAGCTGTTTCACATAATGTTTACAATAATATAATCTTTGAATGCTCCACAAGCAATAAGTGGCTTTCTTTTTAAACCCAGTGCCCCACCAAGTACACACACTGATGGCAGAATAACTGGTGTGAGGGCAACCATGGTGAAGGACTTCCTGGAGGATCAGACTCCAGCCTGTCATGCATACAGTACGGAGAGGAAATCGACAGTAATTAGCAGGGCAGTTAGCTGGCTATTCCCTGGCCGGGCACCTCCGCTGCTGCAGGACTCTCCTGAGCGTTCCTCCTGCTGCTGGTCACACCCTGCGCCTGTACCATGCCGTAAACACATGTCTGTCACTTCTGTTTCTGCCGCTGCGTCTCCCTTCCCGTTCACCTTTTCACTTTCTGTCTCATGATCTTTCTCCACAAATCTGTTTCATCACAACCACTTATTGGCTTTTGGTTATCTTATATTGATTCCTTTTCTTGATCCCTGTTTTTATGTTTCAGGACATATTTGAAGGTCTGTTTTTTGTTTTGGTGTATTACATTTCGAATTCTAGAGACATCATTCTGCTTCTAAAAGCTCATTTTCTATTTGTGTAACTAGCTAAATAATAATATTAACAATGTTTTTTTTGATGCCACAAAGGCTATTGATCAACACACAAGCACAATAACAAACAACACTGATATGTAGGAGACAATAAGATAAAGAATAAACAATGCAGCTTACACGGCAGATACATCAAGACTGAGCAGGTGAATTATTCATTAAACAATCTGTCTGTGAAACAACAACAAATGTGTTAAAGATGACAGATTTTGCTTGGATAATAATAAACTCATCATTTAATAATAACCGTAATTATATAATAATGAACTTGTGGGAGGTTTTCTGTTTCCATAGACTTACTATCACACCTGTCTCTATGTCTTTGTTGACGTCTGTCTCTGCCTTGCATTCATTCTTTGTCTCTTCCCTTCTCTCTCCTCCCTCCCTACCTTCACACGTGCACATCGCTTTTTAATGTCACCCCTTGAGTATATACTCCGCTCCATGCTCTGTTTCCACCCATCTGCCAGGAGAATTGTCATTGAACTTCAGAAATGTCACGAAAAACGAGACATGATTTCGGTGTATTTCTCTTCAAATGGGCCAATTTCAACAACAAGGCTTCATAAATGCCATAAAACATATTTACAACATTTCTTTCAAGAATCAATTCATCTTGAGAAGTTATTTTTGTTAAAGTATCACTTCTGTTGTATGTCGGTACTGTAAAGAAACACAGAATGGCTTCTTGTGTTGATAATAGTTGAGATATTAATTGTAACATTAACACTTTTTGGGAGTATTCCACTCTGTGTCCACTCTGTGTCAAATCAAGTTTTATTTATAAAGCACATTTAAAAGCGATTTTTAGTCGAGCCAAAGTGCTGTACATGTAATAACAACACATACATCACAATAAAAGACAATAAATTACAACAGATATATAAGATTAAGATTAAGATGGACTTTTTATTAATCCCTCGTGGGGAAATTGTTTCTCTGCATTTGACCCATCCTAGTGTTAGGAGCAGTGTGCTGCCATTTTGAACGGCGCCCGGGGAGCAGTGTGGGGAACGGTGCCTTGCTCAGGGACACCTCGGTAGCACTTGGTCTTGCCGGGACTTGAACTGGTGACCTTCCAGTTGCCAAGCCAAGTCCCTATCGACTTCGCCACCACCAAAAAGCAGTCCACTCTGTCCTCTCTGTGTCCACTCTGTCCTCTCTGTGTCCACTCTGTCCTCTCTGTGTCCACTCTGTCCTCTCTGTGTCCACACTGTCCTCTCTGTGTCCACTCTGTCCTCTCTGTGTCCACTCTGTCCTCTCTGTGTCCACTCTGTGTCCACACTGTCCTCTCTGTGTCCACTCTGTCCACTCTCTGTCCACTCTCTGTCCTCTCTGTGTCCTCTCTGTGTCCACACTGTCCAGCATTAATTGGCTGCCTTTTGAAAACTTACTTCTGTGACCTTTCAAGGCTTTACATGAGGCTGCTGCTGTTTTCTAAGTCAAACACACCAGATCCTGTGGTGATAATAATAATCTTAACACACCCTTGGTCAACTTTACAGAGTCATTATTTAAACACAAAAAGGACCATGACCTTGTTAATGACACGAAATCCAAACCAATGATCTTTCGCCACCTGGAAAAGAGTCCCTTTAGTGCTTTGTTGACAATATTACACCTCTCACAGTCTGTTTCTCTTTGTTCTGAAGAGAATAGACACTCTCTTTTTCCTCCAAATTACATTTTTGAGGGGAGCACTTCAAACTCACACTTAAAAACATTTCAGTTTGAAAACTCTTTGCTCAGATGTTAATATTTCGAAGTTTCTGTCAGATGCAGTTGTTTTTATTTCATCCCGCTCGCTCCTCCGCCCCTGTATCCTGTAATCTATAAATATTCTAGACGCTCGCTTTGATCCGGCCTTCAGTTTGTGACGGAAGCTGCCGTTGTGCCAGCTGATGGCTGTCACCTCTCTTTTAATGCTGCCATCTATACGTTAGAAACTCTGCTCTGGAGGCGTGTGTGCGTGTGTGTGTGTGTGTGTGTGTGTGTGTGTGTGTGTGTGTGTGTGTGTGTGTGTGTGTGTGTGTGTGTGTGTGTGTGTGTGTGTGGTGTGTGTGTGTGTGTGTGTGTGTGTGTGTGTGTGTGTGTGTGTGTGTGTGTGTGTGTGTGTGTGTGTGTGTGTGTGTGTGTGTGTGTGTGTGTTGTGTGTGTGTGTGTGTGTGTGTGGTGTGTGTGTGTGTGTGTGTGTGTGTGTGTGTGTGTGTGTGTGTGTGTGTGTGTGTGTGTGTGTGTGTGTGTGTGTGTGTGTGTGTGTGTGTGTGTGTGTGTGTGTGTGTGTGTGTGTGTGTGTGT